GAACAACAAAAATTAGAACCGAATAAAAAAATTAAACGTAAGAACCAAACTATTATAACAGAGGTATTGAAAAAATTCAATTTGATCTGAATCAGATAATATGTATTGTCCTTTTTTGGTTTATACATATCATTATTGTATACCGAAATATCATGCAATTTATGAGTGTATGTGATTAAGTAAAGATTAATAATGAAATAGGAAATCATAATAATAAATAATAAATAAAATATTTTTCAGTAGGTTATGGAAATGTTTCAGTAGATCAGTAGATCAATATGCAAATCAGGAGATCTACTGAAATTCAGTAGAACTGGCAACCCTGCAGCAGACGAAAAGTTAGTGTCTGCGGACGGACTGTACTTGCCTTCGGCAGTTTTTTTCGGAAATTAGAATGTGAAATGTGATTTTTTTTAGATGTCAACGAGAAAATATCATAAAGGAGGGTTTTTCGGACTATTACTTTAAAAAAGTAGAAAAGTAAAGGAGTTTGGAGCAAAGTTTTTTTTTTTTCGGAACCCCCTGTACATCTGGACGCACATTAAAACCGATTTAGATATTTAGATGGTCTATATCGTAGTGTAGAAGGTAGAAGATTTACATTTTACATTCCCACTCACCAGATGTTCAGACCGAGAATCAGACACGCAAAGATTCCAGACAATCCAGACCAGACCTTAAGTTAAAATAGTTAGGTGTTGTCATGTCTAGGGTAATGTTAACCGATTTCAACTGATGAAAAGAGCAATAAGTTAGTTTTTGGTCAGTTAAAATACCGTTGTATCCTCGGTTGTATCTATCTTCAGTATTGAAAAAGTGTATTTGAATGGTCAAAACGAGTTATTAAGCCTGTGCTATTATAGAATCTCATCATGAAATCGGCAATTTTTGTATCTGTTGTAGTTTTTTGAGAGAATTTTGTGAGAAAAAAGATTTCTCGAACCGCTGAAAGTCGTTCCAGATATAAACAACGATAGTCGTTTGTCATCCAAATGAAAAGGTCTATTTGATCAAGATAATATCACATATTTTATGAAATCATTCAAACATGATATAGAGATAAATTTAAAGGATATCTCAATATTGACTTGTTTGAGGTGTGGCCCAAGTTGTTACATCATCCAAAATAAATCACTCTATTCAATAATATATATATCACAACATATTTTGTACATATCCAGGGGCTCGTCCAGGGGTAAAGATCAAAATCGAAAGTGATATGTTTTTATCAAGCATACCACGAAATTTTCAACATATTTTTGTAACGAGCTTTTAATTAATTTTACCCCCCGACACCAATCATGGTGGAGAATTTGTAATTATGGAGAACATCATCTAATGGAAAAGTATGTCAATTACTATAAAAGTTATACAATAATATAAATTAGAAAAGGCGAACAACCTGGGGAATTTGGTATTTCATTTAATTACACTACTTTCTGGTAATAAACCTAAATGAGTTTTCAACGCAATGAATAAAATAATCAATTTATTGTTCATTTTTATATATAGACCTGTTGAGGAAACTCATGCTTTACTTTTTAGTGCATTTACTCCGAGATTTACTCATATACATATATTGATTTTTATATATGTTTCAATCACGTTTCAATTTATTCCACCACAGTGGCCAAACTTCAAGGAAGGATATTTTTAATGATTCTAAGACGAAAAGTTCATAATATGACCAAAGCTCCAATAATGCAAAAATTTCAAGATACACAATGTCAAACTTTTGAAAAGATAGGTTTTCGTAAATCTAGTAATGGCTTAATTAGTACCTTACCACTGCAAATTATGCATTATTTCAGCAAAATTTGATCAGTGATCTTTGCGTTATTTACGGAAAAGCCATTCTTTATGACACCCTGATCTTGAAAACAGTGTTTCCGGACCCATGTTCACATCATCCATTCGACTAAGAATAACTCGAAATACCACTCTGTATTTCCGGATCTCTTGGGTGATTAATAATTTTGATCTTCCAAATTATACTAAAAAATAAGCTCTTTCTTATCGAGGAAACCAAATTTCTCGGCATCCTACAATAATTATAAAAAGCTGAAAAATTGAGAAAAAGTTTGCAGCACAAAACCTATGAATTTTGATGGTTCAATAAACATTAATCGCAATACTTTTGTCAGCATCATATATAGAGATAAACGGTATCAAGAGAGCAAAAGTCATACATATTTTTCTCCCACAATTTGATAATTTTGGATATACTGTTCGACAGATAAGGTTTTTCCGTGAATGAACAAAAAATCATCTGGCTATGAAACATTTGAATCAATTCTAACAGTTGGATAACATCTTGAAGAATACCAACGAAATAAGAACGTTTATCTTCTAAATAATGCACTGACTTCAACGAGACTTCATCGTGACCTCACTGACTTCATTGATATATAAAAAACTTTTAGAAGATGTGCATGTCTTGTTTGATTATTTATCACTAGTTGCAAGGTAGTTAATCACATATAATAAGTGTTCTATTACTCGTAATTGTAATTACTCAATATTTATTACTTATCATTACACTCGTCATTACATTAGAAATGGAAAGGCGTGATAAACAAAATTATTCCTATGCAACAAAACAAATAGATAATTAAAAGAGATAACGATGAAACAAGTAATGATGTGATAAAATCCTAATTCAGATCAAAATGATCGTATCAATCAATCAACTTATCTATTTTTGTACTCAACCCTAACAAGTTTGGAGTCAAATCAAACAATTTTTGGCGATAAACCAATCTATCGAATCTAAAGTCGAAGAATTGAAGCCGTTCATGAACATGTTTGTGTCCAATCAAACAAATTTTGAAATCGAATCTATCTGTCAAACTAGAACTTCAAACACGCCTTCTAATTTCATTAAATGCCATAGATATTGGGTTTTGTGATGGAAAATTAATGTCGTGAAATCGTAATTTCAGTTCAAATTCAACTTCTTCATTCTTCAAGTGAACCCATTCGAGTTTGGTCTCAAATCAAATAACTTGGACAGACAGGATTCATTGGCAAGTAAAAAGTAGAACAAAAGGTTTCCTTCAATAACTTTCTATGAACAAGTCTAGTTCAATCAGTTATGAATTAGGTATCAAAAAAGCGTGACCATACACGAACGATTCAGACAAATAGACACAAATCCAAATGTACCGTGAGATTGTTCGAAAATTTAAATCAAATCAAGCACCTCGACAATATCGGATTAATTATTGCCTATAACAGTTGAACTAAAAGTGCATGCAGTTCGTCAACTTTCTCCGGGTGTTTTGGATTAAATTCTCAATTTCTCAAAATTTATCTATTGGCTAGGAAGAAACAAAGATCAACAAAATCTTTGCATACGCCAATTAGATACATAATTTCAGTTGGAATTCGAAATTCAACTTCTTTATTTCTCAAGTGAATCCTCGAGTGAATCCTATCGAGGATGGTCTCAAATCGAACGATTTGGAAAGACAAAACCAACCGAACCAGAAGCTGATTCATCAGTTATATACAGGGATTCATATCGATCGCCTTGACAATACTTGAATTACAATTAAACAAACACCTCATGCAGTTTCTTGTTTTGTCGAGGAGACTGTCGAAGAGAATAACTCATCTATTGGCAAGGAAGAAGATAACCAGACCCAGACAACGATTCCCATTCCTTTGCAAACGTGAGTTGGATACATGATTTCAGTTGGAATTTGGAATTCAACTTCTCTATTTTCTGAGCGAATCCAATAGAGTTTGGTCTCAAATCAGATGACTTCGAGAGAAAACACCAACGGTACTAGAAGCTGCTTCATTAGTTGTATCTGCAAGTTCGTGATAAGGTTTTCTCAATTAAGAATAACAATTCATCATACATCCAAAAACAAATGCCCAGATGACAGGAGTATGTCAACATATCATAATTCTCAGATGTCAGTTCGTTATAGTTTTAGTTATATTATAGGGAGATGAAAATTGTGTATATCATGAAGAATGGCTGAAAGAATAACTGGACTCCAGGTTACTGATGAGGATTTGATAACCTGAATGAGTTTATTCGAGTTCATGATTCAAGTGAAGTAATATAACCTGTTTGTGAGAGATATAATTCCCATATCACTGATAAGAATTTTTTTTTTAAGTTCCAAGCTCTTCAAGATCAGAGTTTAAACAAGTAAACTTCTTTAATACATTTCAATTTTCATTTCAATACTGAACATATTGGTAAGTTATATTTTTATATCATAATACATCATATTATTTTATCCGATTTGAGAGATGATGTGAATTCTCAATTTCAGAGGATTTTCATTTTTTATGCTCTCTTTTTGGATGTTCAACAGATGTAATTCAATGTTCGTCGTGGCATATAACCAGGAAAGTAAGTAGTTGTTTTCTGTTGAATAAACTGAGAAACAATTGATATTTTCATCACATAGAGAATGCGAATTCTCAATATATTCCTTTCACAATTCTTTGCAAATGCGATCGGAATACATGATTCCAGTTGGAATTCGAAACTCAACTTATTCAATTCCTAAGTGAATTTTATCGAGTTTGGTCTCAAATCAGATGACTTGAAGAGACATGACTGGTTCTCGAGTGAGAAAAAAGATTTCCTTCATCCACTTTCTCATCAATCTATGAGCGATCTATTAACGTTCAAGCATATATCAACTGAGGATTTAAAAAAAGGTGATCAGAATCGGACGATTCATACAAAAAGACACAACTCAAATGTACCGGAATTGGAAATTCAACTTCTTCATTTTTTAAGCAAATACTATCGAGTTTGGTCTCAAATCAAACGTCTTGGAGAGACAAAACTAACCGAAGCGCCTCGACAATGTTGTATTAACAACTGCATAAATAACAGTTGAACGAACAGCTCATGCAGTTCATCAACTCCCTCATATCTCAAAATTACCATATCATGTGAGGTATCGTTATAAACGACTCGAGACGACCAAACAACTCAATCTCAATACAATTCCGAAAAATCATCTCACCTTGACATACCACTTGGCGGTCTTCTTACTGCTCTTCCTCGGTCCAGTACAGACGCAAAATCTAAACCTGTTCCTTCTCAGAGTGTCCTTGCTCGGACTTTTGTTTACACATTTCGAAGCAAAAAGTTTGGTTTTTTCGCTGACGCTGTGATAGAACTCTTGCTGGAAACCTATCGGAGACGAATTGGTCGGCAACAACATTTGACACGCTCGAGGAGAGAAAAAAAAAGACCGGACTGTTTCAATCAGAAATCAGAACATCCCTCGTAGGAAAAAAACGTGACCGCGAACATTCGACGATCGATAGGAATCACGAGATCGCGATCAGAACGCGAAACAAAACACAAAACACGCGTCGCAACCAGCCTTCTTCGATCTACTGAATGCATGCTGGTATTGCTGGTAGATTCGTTCTCATACAAACAAACGATATTTCGTAGGATTTGGCGGAGTCGACGGTTCAGCGAACGCGCATGCGCGGATTTCGGGCTGAGGGTAGAGGTTTAGGGTTGATAGGGGCGAAGGGATTCTACTGATTCGAGTCGGCTAGGTATGTACAGGGTGTGTCAAAAGCGAGGTCAAGAGTCGGCTCCAACTTTCTTATTTTGAATAGAATAATGAAGAAAACGAGGGGCAAACAACTCTTTAAATATATGTATAATAATAAAAAGTTGTGTCAACCACCCAAAATTTTATTTCTTGAAGTTGTTTCATATACAGGGTCATTCGTTTTTCCAGAAAGGGCATCAACTTTGATTTTTTTCAATGGAACACCCTATATAATTTACGACATGTCGATAAAGCCTTTTTTTCTGATTCGAAAATATACAGTGTGACCCACTTCTAATGGAAACACCCCTGTATCTTACGTAATCGTTGGGTAAGGATCCTGAAATTGGCTGGGGCGAGAGATATACCGAAAATGGACTCTATGATCAGGTGGGGTCATCTTCGGTGATATACACTGATCGCCAACAGCCATGGAACCACCCCAATTTCCGGAAAATGATATTAGGAGTCAACGTATACGAAAATCGAATGACACCAATAAAAAAATTGTTTGAATCAAAATAAAATTGGGGTGAGAACCCTTTTTCCGCCCAAAGTTCTACACTATGAATATGCTGACGTCACCTTTGTACACATTTACGTGAGGAAGAGACAATTACGCGGAATTCAATTGTTCAAATACTTGATTTTGTTTTCATATTTTGTTCAATTGTCAAGATGAAATTTCTCGTTGATTGGAATTAAGAATTAGGAAAGATCTGATGTTTTGGGAATATTCATCAGACTCTATCATATTGATGTGCTAGATATATAGAAAGTTATACCAAAACAGCTCGTATTTCTACTTTTCGCACTTGTTATTTGGTTTTTGGAAAATAACTATGAGGCAAAATGAATATTATGATGGCGCCAGTTGCATCAAAACAAACAGTGAGAAATTCGGAGAAATCAAAGCTGTTTAGTGATGATTCGAGAAATACCAAGAATTGATATCAGCATCTCGAGCTATATTTGTTTTCAAACTGTCAAGATGAAAAATTCCTGCCGGAATAGATTGATCAAATTTCGCGATAACGCTTATTATTCTTCACATTCTCGAGATAATCGAAAAACCCACAAATATTATCAAACGTTATTGTTATCGGAATTTCGTCGTGGGAAATGTCGGGTAACAATTATTGTTTTGAATTAAATAAACATTCCATCAATTGTGCAAACCTCAATCACTTGCCATTTCCGGGGATAACATTTCAATGCAGGGATGGATCATAACTTGACATCAGTCCAAGCAAATAAGGAATGTTTCATGATGATTCTTATTTTAGATAAATAATGAATATCAGACTCATGTGAAGTTGGTGCCATTTTTTTTTTTGAAAACTCAATTTTTTTTTTTTGAAGTTCTGAGTAGATTTGATGGGGTTCTAGAGTTCCTGACTGAGATTTTGAATAGTTATAGCAAATCGTAAATGTAAATGTAAAAAATTCATTTTGAGCGCTAACTTCACGCAGCGCCGTTTTTTGTTGTATTATAAAGAGTTCTGGAGTTCTGAACCTATGCCATCAATAGTTTTGGTGAACTATGAGCAAATTATAGAATAATTCGAGGAAATTAAATACGAAATTGTGTTTCTTTAGGCGTGCCATTCTTTGTGAAATACTATTCCGTTCTCTTTTGTATTGAAGAAGAAGCTTCGGAGAAAAAAGGCTGACAATCATTAGGAAATTTACAATCTGAAAAGAATAGATTGTTTTATTACGATCAAAAGTGACACTGGACGCTCCGCCTCGCAAATGCAAAATTTGCGAGTCAAACAAAGTCACTTTTGATCCGAATGAAACATGCCATTTTTCTGCAACCGATAGAATTGACTAAAATCCTTGATTATTAGTGTGAATACTCAATGCTAAAATGAACATGTGAAGTTGACCACCAATGTGACTTACTTGTCAGATTATTATAATATTTATAATACCTTTATTATAATAATATAGGTAATCAGATAGAAGCAGGACCTCAGACTACTTTACATTAAAATATTGGTAGACGATGACTTCACTTTGTTGAAATTTGTGTTGACATGCATCATCAGATACTACAGGCACGAATTCAATACTATACCCGAAACGTGGATGCCGTGCCATATGTATCAATTGCAACAAATAATCCGTGTGGGGAGAATAGAGAAAAAGAAGTGGAAAATGTTAGGTTGGTAAGCATATCAACAATGATAGTAGCGTTTGTGGAGTTTTTACAATAATAATGGCGATTATTTATCTCTCCCCATATTCCACTATGTCTGGCTCGGTAATCAAATGAAGGTGAACAATATCGTTTTGTGAGACAAAAAGGTATTGCTGGCCGTGATTATTCAAAAACAAGTTATCCAGTTAATCAGATCCCAAGAATGAATAGAATACAGATCAAGCAAGTATGTGAAACTTGAAGGCTTTCCTGATCAAAACGAAAATACTCAACTATAATAAGGTGTATTTATATCTCCAGCATGGGTGGGTATGTTATGCCAAATTTGCGAAAATCGGGAACAAATCAGGTATGCCTCCCATCCCAAATAACCAACCATAACAATGCTTGTTTATTCTTGATGACCCAGTACATCCTTTTTATTTCCTAGGAGCTAAAGTTCAACTTTAGCTGCTAGGAACTGTTGTTTATCCTTGATGACGTCTAGTACATCCCTTTTAGTTCCTAGGAGCTAAAATTCAACTATAGTTCCTATAGGAACGCCACTTTTACCAGTATCAGTTTATAACACTGACTGACTTACTGACGACTATCCTTATTATAATAGTGGAAATACGAAGAATCATAACTGCTATAATACTCTTTGAATTAATTTTTTATTCTTCGAATTAAATTATGTTGAAATCCCGACGAAATGAAATTTCGCACGAGGGACAGAGCTGGGCAGTACTCGAGTACAAGTACTCAAATATTGTACTCTGAGTACATTTTGTGTACTCAGTACCCAGTACCCGAGTACATTTTCAATATAGTACCCGGTACTCGTACCCGTAGCATTTCGGGAAAAGTACCCGGTACCGGCGTTTATTAAACGAGTACATTTTCCGGGTACTTTTTGCAAGAATAAACTTGTATGTGCATATGCTAGTGCTATACAGAAAACCGCTGTTATATTATATTATCATTATCAGACAGCACATCAATCAGAACCAAACGCGGAGTTTTTGTTTTGTACACTGTGTAACAGTTATAGAGTCAAGTGTTTTTTGTATCGTTTCTGTTGTTTTCTCAAGACTAGACCACACTAAACTAAGAGGTAAGGGTATAGTATTTTGCAATAATATTTCTCTTATATAGAGATACGTACCTATAGACGTGAACAACGACAAATAGGTAGTTTGATTTTTGCTTTAATTTACGTATTAGTAATGAATAAGAAATGGGTCAATTTTATAATTTGTAAAAGACAATTGTTGAAGTTGTTGATATTATTATTGTTAATAATGACTAATACTGATGCAAAATTTCACAATTCTCTATTCAAATGTACTTGAAATGAGTACCCGTGAAATTCGGGTACTTGTACTCGGAGTACTTTACTCTGAGTACATCCAATGAGTGGGGTACTCGGTACTCTGTACTCGTTCTTCAATTATAAACAGTACCCGGTACCCGGTACTCGAGTACAATTTATCAGTACCCGGCCCAGCTCTGACGAGGGATCATATTTTTTCTGCTTATGGCGGCAGCCAACGTGTTTATACCAATCTGCCTCCTCACCATTGCATTGGCACCAGTGTTGCCAGCTGCTGAACATGAAATGTCGCCATAAGTTAGTAAATTTTTGAAAATTTAGCGACTTCTTTTCGTGATTTAGCGACATTTTTGTGATCATATTTCCTCATTTTCAGTTAGTTTAGAACATCAGATAAAAAATCGTAGAAAACTTTATTTATTCAAAATCTTTTCAGAATAAAAAAAGAACCAAAATGAATATAGGTAAATGTTTCTATACAATTTAATTCGGTACTATTAGGTAGGTACATACATTGGTAAGTCACAATAATACATTTCTCGATCGTATTTGAGTTTTGTCAACTCATATTTCTAGTTCAACATCATACAGATCTGCGACTTCATTGCAATATAAGTCACATTGGTTCCTATAATTTTCAATACTGATTTAGACAAAATAAAATATTCACAAGCAACACAAGTTTTTATACCATATCAAATGATGAAAACTAACCCTGTCGTATGTCATTCTCTTCTCTGCTTATCTCTTTGTCTCGAATGTTTCAATGTGAATCATTCATATCCGTCGTCACCAATTCATAATAATATGATGAAAATATCTCCTTATAAACCGCTATGACTATGTTGAAAACGCTATACCTTTTCAACTTCAATTTCGGAATCGGTAAGTTATATTTCGGAAAAGTAATCTCGATTTCAGAATTGGTTAGTTCCATTTCAGAAATGGTAAACTCAATTTCAGAATCGGTGAGATGAATTTCAGAAAATGTCCATTCAATTCCAGGAATGGTAAGTTGTATTTCAGAATTGGTAGGTTCAATTTCAGAAAATAAATCCCTATATCTGTTTGAAATGTTTTTAATTGCAAAAGAGAAGATTGTTTACAGTGGATGAAACGGTGTTTGAGAGCGTACGTTCCAAAAAGGGGCATCCTGCAGATACCATAGTGGTAGTTCTGGATAATGCACCTGCACATTCAAGAATAGAAGAGATATGCATGGAGGAAGAATTTGAAGATGTTATATTTGCAAATTGGCACCTTATACAGCCCTATGTTGAACCCGATTGAAGATATATGGGTGTCTTCAAGTCAGAAGTGAAGAGCTTTTGCAAGAGCATCGCCAAAAGGTCATAGCCGGGGATCCAAACAGATTGCTCAACCAGATAGAATTCAGACTGCGATGTCCTCGGCGATGTCTTGAAGAATGTGCAGAACATTCAATGCGAATGATAACACCTAAAATGTGTTGGCGTTCTTATAATCATGTGCAACGTCACTATTTCAAACAAATATAAGGATTTATTTTCTGAAATTGAACCTACCGATTCTGAAATACAACTTACCATTTCTGAAATTGAATGGAATTTTTCTGAAATTCATCTCACCGATTCTGAAATTGAGTTTACCATTTCTGAAATCGAACTAACCAATTCCGAAATACAACTTACCGATTCCGAAATTGAAGTTGAAAAGGTATAGATTTAGCGACAAAACCGCTAAGATGGCAACCCTGATTGGCAGGCGTCAATGGAATGGAATCGAGGCGATTGACGCATAATTATTGACATTGACGCCATCCCGTATCGAATGTGCTTTTGCGATAGGAAACGCGTGGTACAGAATCGTACCCAGAAGCACACATTATCGCGATTGTCCTGTAATCGCGTTTTTCAGCAGACACGGACGAGATGCGCCGCCGCCTCGGATATCTGGCGCCATTTCAACTGCGACGACAAAAAAAATAGAAGGAACAATCGTTTATGGAGAGACGATAACGCGAAATGGAGGGCGTCGTACTGACATCGGATGACCCGAGGATTAGAATGCCTCAAACGTCTCATTACACGCCCTTTAGTGAGTGTGGACCATATACGTTAATAATCAATACGGATAATCTCTATCTGTTTCCATAGCGAAACATGAAGCCGATTTTTGAAGACAAATGACTATCCATAAGGAAAAGTTTTGAAACGATCAGACACATATACTGCTTTGATTGAAAGGCTAGTAAACGTCATTGTCCACCGAAACGCATGTCTTTGATGACTACTATAATAGCGCATGATGGCGCATGCGTATCATGCCACCAAATCCTTATGGATATTCATTTGTTTCATATTTTTGGCTTCATCCTGGCACCCGTTATGATCCGAATTGTTTATTAATACGTATATGGTGTGGACAAGCTTGTCAACACCGATATTTCAGAATTGTCATCATTCTCAGATTTAAAACGTCAGTTCTGCAAATTGAATAGGCGTCTCCGCGTAAATGTTTTCAAATATGTCTTGTTCGGTAAAGAATTGCAAAAATTCTAAGAATGATGTTCACCATTCATATTTGAGTTGCCCAAAGACGGAGAGCTGACAACAAATTTCATTGTCTGATTGATAGATTGATATCTCATACCTTCGCCGCTTTCCAATTGCCACAGCGAGTAAAGTATTATACAGGTGAAACGAAAAGACCGCTCGCAGTAAGGACTAAAGAACACAAGTACAATATCAAGAAGACATATCGATAAATCAAAGCTAACTGAACATATCCTTACTGAAGATGGACAACATATGGCAGAGTGGAATAATATCAAAATCATAGGAGAGGAAGATAACAACCAAAAAAGGAAAATCAAGGAATCTTCTTGCATTCTTCTGAACGGAGACAATAGCATTACTTCCTGTTCAGTTGATATAGATAGAACATGGTATTCATTACCTAAAACTGAACATGAAAATGGTAGATTCAAGATCAATTAATGAAAACATCCTGTAACTCATTTGTAGACTAAAATTACTCAATTTATATGCCAACATCAGTATGACACTGAGATGCGTTAAACTATATAAGCAGAGCACAACTTCCAAAGAAAAATATTTTGCATTATCATCTGATTTGTCCCACTACAAATATATTGAAATAATGCGCATATTTTCATTTTATAGAAACGAGGAGAAAAATCCCAAAAAATCAAGTAAAATGAACAGAATGATGTATACTCGGATGTATACAAATGAAACGACTAACTTCATGACCTTGCTAGATGGCCTGAAAAATGAATCAAATGTATATTTGGAGAATTGATGGCGGTGATTTAAGAAAGTTATCTGGGATCGAGAGAACTCATTTCATCTGGGAATAAATATCTGGAACCTGTCCTACCCGTCCTACCTACATGAAGGAATCATAAGCTTTTGACACTTTGATGCTTATTATTACTAGCATTTTATCAACATTTCAATTTGTATTCTTCAGATTGTAGTCCTAAATTATAAGTCCCACGATAACATTATTTACTACTTTCAAAAGTTTCGTCTTTCATCTTTCAATGGAATGAAAAGTAGCAACTGGAATCGAAAAAGTTGCAAATAAAACGTATGGGATAAATTAAGACGACTGTCATCCTGTCAAGAGTCAAGACAATCAATCAAGACATCTCACCCAAGGTATTCTTATTTGAAAAGGTTATTATAGATTTTTACAAATAATGAAAATACCGAGGAAAATACCCTCGAAAATACCTAATCAAGATTTGAATGTTTTTGAATTCTGATGGGTTAGTCTCGAGGTTAGTCTATTCTGTTAATAGAACTATTCCTAGAAGTCATATTACTTATAATAACTACAATACCTTATTAGGTAGTTACTTATGATAATGAATGATGTAACATGAGATTTCACAAAAATTACCGTTAAATGGCTATTCACCTTGGTATTCACATGATCCTATTAATGTTGTAGAACCTACTTTAACAATTTGAAATAAAGAACACACCAATAATATGAAACTTCCACAATTGAAAAGCATTTCTTCTTGAAACAGGAAATTTGTTGGATTGTTGGTGTAGGTAGGGTAGGTTAGTATTAAGTTGGAAGGCGTTTAAACATTTAAAATACAGTCCATTATTTCTCATTTCAGAGTGGTCAGAATACACCTCACCTATTAAATGTCATTAGAAAGTTGACTCCATTGTGACAAATTACAAAACAGCAATAGCAATAATTATAGTTGGAGGCCGTTAGGTCATGTCAATAATAATATCATAATAAATAATAATAAGATTAAATACTGACCAAGCTATCGTCATCATTCATTTTTTCCTCGTCATTTTGGATGGCTATGTTTCCTCTTCGATTTTCTCAAAACTCATAATGTCCGATATCACAACACACGTTGCCGACATTGACGATAATTATTAATTAATATAAAATGAGGACGAACTAGACGGAGAAGTGAATGAAAAATTCCAAGAATGTACGCGAAGATTCTACAAGAAATCACAATAATGTTCAGCAACTTTCCAACACTAATCGTAACATCTGTCAAAACATGAGATTCAAAAACAAATTTACTGCTAGGAACAGGAAAGTACCAAAAAATAGTCAAGAGAAATGGCAGAGTGCATCTATATGTTTATAATTCAAATGCGTTCAAATGAGATTTAAAATAAACTAATTAATAAAACACTAATAAACTGTACGAGTATTTTGTGATGTCTTCAATCTCCGGTACTCTGGTAGTTCAGCTTTCACTTCATCCTTCATCACTTCATCCTTCACCTGACACTCCTCACTCCCGACAGTCTTCTTGACGGTCTTGACAGTCTTGACACACTTGACTCTTGACGAGTGACGAATGACAACATGTAGTGAATATTTGTCCGACCTCGGTTAGATAGCTGCTGGAAACAGAGGGCAGAGGGTGAAGCAAAGGAGCAAAGAAGAGCAAAGTTGAAGGCCGAAGGTTGAAATTCGAAGACTTCTCAAAAACTCAGCTTCGTCTTTTCACCATTAACGGTCAATTTGAGAATGAAATATCCTGTATATTTTATCCTCCCGACTACCGGAAAAATACTCACGGCCTTTTATTCATGAATGATTCAAGAACCAAGAAGTTAACTTCAACTTGTCATTGTCATCTTCCAAGGCTGTCATTGTCATCATTTGGCAATTTGAATTTTTTTTTGGGTAAAAAAAAGGAAAAAAAGTTGATTCAACTGATGAACTGATTCAACATTTAAGTCAATGTTTGATTGTGTACTTGCGTAGGTTTGAATATTTATTTCATCTAATTATTCATGTAACCAAGAATACCCAATCAATTCTAATCTTACGTACATGCAAGTTGTCACATTTCATTGTTGATTTATGATTATCATAATATTAAATTATCAGATCATTCAACAGAGCAGACCATAGATAATTATACAGCAGACGTCACCCAGTGATAGATAGAGTACGTCATTTCATGGTCATTTCACATCAAATACATATAAACAACCACTAGTTGATTATTCGATTATTTTTATTTGTACATAATATACTCATAAAACAAGTATTTATTTATTCTGTGTTGAGTTTTTCCAAATTTCCAGTACCTACCACTGTAAATCTATATCTCTATAAAATCTTGAGTTTTTGCAGCATTCACAAAGAATGCACAAAGACCCAGTTCAGCAGTGGATAGATACAATACCTTCTTCAAGTCTGGCAGCCCTTCATACGGACCCGAAGCGGAACCCCCAAAAATCCTTATCAAGGGACTATTCTTTTCAATCAGACGACGGTTCACACTGCTCCAGTGTGGAATCTGTTTTGGAACTGCGAAAGCCCAATCCAGAAGCTGTGCTGCTGGAACTGGGCTTTGGTCCTAGGAAAGGATCTACTAATGCTAACCGAATACCTCCTAGATTTTTACAGCCATCAAAGGTAAGAATCAATCCCATAAAATAATTAAGGGATGATGTACTTCACACTTGGGTGTCAAGAATTAACCATAAGGGTCATTACAGAGATCTTTTGATTTCAGATATTGCCACACATAGACTTGAATAAATTTTTAGAAGAATATGGAGCTAAACCACCAGAACCACAGTAAGTTTTATTTTCATTTCTTCTTTTCTCATATTTCTTCCAGCCTTAATACTCACTTCATTGCTATGCTAACCTTCTTACCTAATGAACTATCTAAGGAAAATGGTTTGCCAATATTTTTGAGTACAAAACCAATTTTATTGTTGATTCAAAACTCTTTTTGAATGTACGGAGTCTCATTTTAGACTGCCCCCCTCTATATCTCAGCTATTAGTCATGTGGTTCTCACCTTTGGACAGGTTAGAATAATCATTAATTTGATCAGTTTTTCAGAGATGAACATCATTTTGGATGGTGCATTTTTATAAAAACAGGAAGGAAATATTTTTTTATGAAATCATATTAGGCATTATTTTACAGGAAAACTGACCTCATAATGTTGTTCTTCATTGAAAGGTGAGTGGAACAAAAAATAGTATACCTATTGTGTTTTTTCCTTCAAACCATGATTTTCTACCAACTGGAGCTATTATTGCATGTTCCAAAATTTGCAGTTAATTTGAATTCACAATGTTTTTTCCAGGCAGAAAATGGAAAAAAAATGAAGCCAATCCTGTTCATTTGGGATGAGTTGATTTTTTGCATACATAGGTTTGAGAGCATGATGAACAATAATATGAAGTTAGTTTTCCTTCAAAAAAATTCCTAATATGATTTCATAAAAATTGACCCCTTTCTATTCCAATAACACAGCACAGTCCAAAATAAAGTTTTTCTGTGAAAAACTGATCATATTGAAGGATATTCAAACCAGTCCAAATCTGGTATGAATCACAACTACTAGCTGGAATATAGAGGGGTTGGAGGTGTTTAAAGTGAGACAGAGGCTGAATGTTTTCTACAATCAAAATAATGATGATGACTGGGATGATGATATACCTATTTGATTCAAAAAAGATATAGCCTACCAAGGATGTATACAATTGATATAAACCTGAAAAACACTATTTCAAAAAAATCTACTGTTCCATAGATCTACTGTTCTTAGTGTTCTTGATATTTATTGATTATCATGACTTGTTCATAGATCAACTGAAACTCAAAAGTGCATTATTTGGCTATCTATAAAGTTATTGTAGCTAGTGATCAACCATTTAGAACATTATTGAATATATTATTTGTTTTTAAATTGAATGTTTAGAACCATTCAGAACTTTCTTTACAGTTCTTGCCCATCCACTCCATCCAGAACCAGGCCTAAATCTACTTGAACTGTGGAATCTTGAATTACCTCTTGCCATTATGCCATCTGAAACTTTTTTTGTCAACCAGAAAATTCGTTTTTGAATAATGATTAGGTATTTATTGTGATTATACATATAATGTGCTCAGTGAATGTGTGAATACTTTTTTAGTTGTTTCTTTAGAAAAAGATTTATTGTTGTTATTTTTCTATACCAGAAAACAGGGTACATCTGTACCTTATTAGTGGTTAATAATGACATTTTAACACAATATGAATTACTTCAAATTTCAGATTTTGATTTTCAATACATGGAGTACTCCCCAAAATCTGAAACTACATATTTTCATCTGTAAAAAATCTAAAATTTCTTCACTCAATCCACTATACAGTTATAGGAGTGACCCTGTTTTCATGACCAACTTGTATAGGATAAAAAAAATTGATCAGATATTTGAATAGTAGAGTAGCATAGGTATTAGCATATAGTCAAGCTCAATCTATATTCCATAACTTTTATAAGTAAATTTCACATTCATGGTGAATTGAAAAAACAAACAATTTTCCATGATTTTCTCCTAATAACTTGACTTTCAATTGTTTGTGTAGGGTGTCCCAAATTGCTTGATTCTGGTAGTTTTCCAATCTCCAGAACAGCTAGAGAAAAACTGACCAAGGGTTATAGAGCTTGATTTTTGTGAAACCGTTCCCGAGATGTCGGCGAAAATTGACATTTAACCGTTTTCGAAAATATGCCATAACATTTTCATTTTTGAATATTTTTCTAAACGAAAAAAAAAATTAAACAGGCACTTTTCAACATAGAATGGTCTGTAGGCTGGTGGTGCTTAGGGTATTGTTGGAAATATAGATTTCTCGCAGCTTCAGCATTTCAGCCTGATTCAATGAAGCATTTTCATAGTTTTCATACATTCTGTTGCAGACAGTTGTAAACAGCTTTTATATATTTCAATTAATGTCAAACTGACAGCGAGAACTTCTCTTGCTTACCATGGCTTACTAAGTTGAGATGCCAACAAATTGTTATTTTCAAAGAGAAATAATGGGTATGTTCCGTAAATCAACTTTGATATTTCGATTAGTAGTTTTCCGTTCCGTAAATATAAAATGTTCGGTTGGTTCCTGAAAAAAGGGTAATTAAGGAATCAAGTTGCTGAAAAAGCGGTAGATTCACTGTCACCAGAAATATCGTGGAGTTCATCTGGTAAGTTCGAGAGTTGACGTTGTTGTGTTTCATTTTTCGGTTTGATTTTCGATTTACAAATTACAACGAGAAACAATATTCAATATATTTTCAGTTTGATAACGTTTTTTCTATTGCAGGACACTACATCATATGCTTGTGTTTACTGTGCACAAGAGCTAGGGACTTTTGGGTGCCATAATTGAAAATCAAACACTGGCAGAGCATGAATGTTTAAAAATGATTAAAACTATAATTTAGCAAATGACTGGCATTCCGTAAATTAACCACAAACCACAACCATAATCACCAGTAGATAACCACTGTCAAAATTGTTGGTACCGGCCCTGAAAGCATCGGTACCTCTAACTTCAGTTGATTTACGGAATATATCCAATATGTTATATTGACAGCAATGACTAGACTAGACATATCTTGACATATATATTTTCGGAAAGCCTGTTTTTTCTAGAGTCAAGGCCAACTATGGTTTCTATTTGAAATAACAAAGTTTGCTTTGATATCAAAAAACTGATATGCGATATATTTTTTTGGCAGATGTATCTCATTCTACGTTAAAAAGGGCCTATAGAAAGGTATTTTCTTTCAGAAAAATATCCAAAAATAAAAATGTTATGGCATTTTTTCGAAATCGGTCAAATGTCAATATTCAATATCTCGGACGCGGTAAAATTAAAAAAAGGAGAAATTTGTCACAAGGTATATAGACAATATTTTTTGGTGAAACGTTTTTTCGAAACATGGAATAACTTATCCAACGATGTTGTGAATTCTGACTCAGTGAATAGTTTTAAGAACAAGATAAGACATTTGCTTATTTGCTTAATTGTTTGTTTTTTTCTTCTTTTGCATGCATTGTATCAACTTGTTAATCCTTTTAGTTTTTAGGCTTACATAGGACTCTGTCCTCAGCCTTTACTTATATTTAATAATAATAATAATATCGAAATGTGGTTTTCACCAATCAACGTTTCACAAAACTCGGGCTCTACCTTGGTCAGTTCTTCTCTAGCTGTTCTGGATAAAGGAAAAACTACAAAAATCAAGCAATTTGGGACACCCTGTATACTGTGTATGGTATATCCAAAACCAATTGCAGAATATCCTGCACCTTCAATTTGAAGTGAGTGCAGGTGCGGCACGAAAATCTGCAATTGTTTTTTGATTAACTTTACTGTGTTTGGAAATGTAATTGTTTAACAATTATTGTTTTTCATTTTCTATGAATAGATTCCATCAGCTAGGTAAACTGACAAAATTCGGTAGCTATATAAACACCATTCCATAACTTTTGAACAAAAGTGGTAATTTGATATCAAAATGAACAACTAAATAGGCCAGATAATATGAGATAAATGAAAAAAAGATGATAGGTATTGTTTGATTTGAAAAAGACGGAAACGATTTATATTGTAAGACTGAGGTACAGTTATTATTTTTTATAACTCAAAATAGTTGTGTGGTCCAAAACAGTAAGCATTTTTTCTTCACAATATGCAATGAACAAATAGACCGAGAGCCCACAACGTGTTTTCTGCATCAATAAGAATTTTTTTGCCTGGCATTTTGACGAGTAGGACGAGTATTTTTTTCTGGCATTTTTTTGAGTTGAATTTAATGGCAACAAAATCCGAATTATAAATGCCAAGTTTACTTGGACTAAAAAAAGCTAGAGTGTAATTCAGTTAGACAATTTAATTCATCAAACATTTGTTTATGGCTGGATGTCATGCTTTCAAAAGTTAGGTTCCGTTTTATTGTCGCCGGAAAAGTTAGGGCAAACTTTCGCTGCCATAATGACAAAATCACGTGGCTCATGGAATTTTTCATACATAATAGTTATTTGGTTTTCTAGGCCTAGGCGTAGTATAGTGAACAAATGAGACACAAAAAGCATTTTGTTGGCTCCAGATCAATTCCATTGAATGAAATAGTATAGTTTTATAACCTAGGGTAAAAAGAGCTATTGTATGGCTTTTGATTTCTTATATCAAGTAGCCTGGAGTCACAGTTGTTTAACAAAGGAGATTCAAATCTGTCAGAAAAAAAATCTTGATATACACTCACCCGCATAAAAAACCGGCTATCAAAAAAATTCAACAAATTGGTCGCCCTGTAACTTTTTGAATTCTTTTCCGATATTGCTGAAATTCCAACCTAATGTTTACCAGAATTTTGGTTCCCAAGAAAAGAATTGAAAAAGTTACAAGGCGATCAATTTGCCGGAGAGTGTAAATTGAACAGCAGTGAAAAATTCATATTTTACCTGATGACTATTTTTGTAATATCATATTTCTTTTCATTAGAGGAATTCCTAAAATAATGATGATTTCTCAGGTTAGCAGTGGAAACAAATTATTTCAGAGCCAATTTTCCCTTTGTTTGCCACGCCAAGATGTTCACTATCTTTCAAGATCTCCCTGTGCAATGGAACGTTCCTAGTTGTTTAATCTTTTATTCTTGTCCTAACTCATGAAGGCTGCAAAATTCGAAATCTTTATTATAGAATAGAAATAAATGACCACTTATGCTTTCGCGTGGACTCCTGGTATATGGACCAGAACAAGAAGTTATTAAGTATTTCTCATAATTCATGTGATAAGTTCACATCAGCATTCGAATTAGTCCACTTCAATGTTTTCATACATTATTGATTGATTTTTCAAGAAAATTGCAAATTTTTGGATGACTCAAAGAATTTGATTAGAAAATATCCTGTTCGTTGCTCACTATCATTCCATTTTTATGATATATCTATTCTATTGTAGACAATTAGACTGAATCCGAAGAAATCCTATTCTCTGATCATTTCCGTCCAAATCTTGCTACACGTTTAAAAAGGCAACTTCTAGTAGAAATATAAAATAAATCCATTTAAGATGAATGTTATTGGGTATTGTATAAACAGTGTGTTTATGACATTTCCTCTATTGTTACTATTTTGAACTTTTGAAGATTTTATTGCAAGCTTAGTATATTAAGATAACCAGGATATTTTCGTGTAGATATAGGTAGATAACTGATATTAATTTTCAACATATTCAATATTCTCCACCTATATCTTGTACGGAGTGTTTGATAAAGGTTGGCCACCATCTCTATTGTGATTGGCTAACCTCATGCAACCAAACACTTTCAGTTTTAATTTTTAGATCAAAAAATTGGTATGCAGAATGTAAAACATAAAAATGAAACAAAACATTTGATATTATATTACTTTCTATTGTTTATCTCTCTTTAAAATGTAGACTATTCAAAAATGAGAATATCGAAATATACTATAATTTTCATTTCATCGCTTTACTTTTTCACTGGTTTGGTGAAGGCCCTTTTTTCCTTCCATGAAAATCACTATGGTCACCTTATATGGATAAGGTATATACAGGGACTCTAATATGGATCATTATTCTCATAGGGACGGGAAGGTGATATACCTAGTAGGTGATCTGTGCATGATTTTAAAAATTTTCATATATAATAACCCATTCAAACCCGGTAGGGGAAAGTTACCTATGATGGCATACTTAACTTTACATCAACATTGACACGTTATTAATAAGTTTGGGAGATGATCTGTGTGTAATTTGAATACACAATGACTTCATAATTGATCAGAACTCATAGCATTCTTCATACATTTTGAAATTTTTTGAGAAAAAAATTTAAAGGAAAATGACGTCAATGTGCCATCATAGGCAGGTATCCTCCTATGATGGCATACCTTCAATCCATGAGGTCTTCTGAGGTTAACCTATTCTTGAATTGAAATAAGTGCTTTATTATGGAAAGATTGATGTATTCAAAATAATGGGACAGTTCTTACAAAAACATAAACTTAGGAATAAATCAGAAAGTAGCATTTTCGAAACAGTCATCAGATGACAAATATTTCATAGGCAGAGTTCGCAGACGAATTGCTTTCTTCATTTTTCGACTCCGGCACATTCGATATGGCACCAGGATTTGCACATCTGGCATGAAATCCACAATTCTCTTGATTTGGATCTAGAGTACAATCGTTGCATACCATGCCATCAAAGGAACGACTATCGTATGCCGTCATAGGAAAAGTCCACACTTCAACTTAAAAAAATCGAAATAATTTTTTGGTTACAAATTAACCTCAAAATAAACACAGTACCAAATTAAGAACATTCATCAAAAGCATGCACTGAATGGGTGTTCTCGAATAAAGTCTATTAAGAACATGACATCGAATTCATTACTGCTTGAAAATAACTTCGAGACTTACCGAAATTGTTTTATATCCACAAATATTTGTTGAACTATCCGACGCGTATGAGTGTTCGTAGACATCGATAGATCAGTAACGACCATCTGACAAACGGGTCATTTGAGCGCCAAATTCAAATGCGTTAGAAATATCGATAGTATGCCATCATAGGAAACATGCCATCATAGGTAACTTTCCCCTATCGTTGAATTCTTTGAATCAATCCCTAACCGATTATGGAATAAAATACAGGGTGCTCCATTTGAAAATTTCTTTCATCATCGCATATATTGCTCGCAAAATGTAGGTAAATATATTGAAACATCACCTCCTCGCTAGCGAATGTATTCCAGTTAAAGTATTAAGTTTTCACACTGGACTTATATTACAATAATGCAATGAAAGGAGAATCAATTATTGAGGTTGAATAACGGGCGCACGTCTATATCATCTTCTCTACGATCCGAATAATAAGATGATCCGAATATCTTTGCAATCTAATATACTTCTAATATAGTTACCAATGTGTGTGCTACTTGAAAGATAAAACCAATAATAAGATTGAATAAACTACGCGCCTGGTGAGTGGTGGTGATAGAGCAAGGGATAGAGTAGAAAAGTTTTAGGCAACCATGGTGACATTCGCCCTATCGCTGCTGCTCTCTGCGGTTTGCGGCTGCCACTAGCTTTATTAGCTGATTGCTGCTATAAGCTATAAGTGCTAACTGATTGGTAGTGATTGGTGATCGTCGTGGACTCTGTGGTGGTTTGTGCAGAGAAGTTGAGAAATTGTATAATTATCTATGAGAGAAGTGGAAATAAAACTAAATTCGGTAAGTTATTTTTCATACCGCCTTATATTTTTGTGTATTTATAGGTACCTATGCAAAATAATGAATAATGGTACATATCACATATATACAGTTTGTAGAACAAATAGGTATAAGGTATCCATATACGTTTAAAGTATGCCAAACGATTTGACGAACAGTTTTAATAATTATATGGTGGCTTGATAGCAACCTGGATAAAATTTCTACTTTTTTAATGCATTACACGCACGAACGAATCATGAGTCATCAACTTATTGAAAGTGAAACGCGAACTGGAATGCCTGAAACCTGAAACGAAAAAGAACTGTTGAACTTGGTTGAACGAATTTTTCCCGCATTTGACATCATGTTAGAGACGCATCAGAGCATGATCATTCTTCTTCTCCGTATTTATTATTGGCCTTTGCCAGAAGCCAGAATTGCAGATGGGGTTTTTTTCGCGTTCCTAGCTTTGTTTCTTTGATTTTTAAAAAAGTTGAAAGAAGGTAGTATGAAATACCTGTTGAATTCAGCAAAATTTAGCAGTAGTTATAATTAGAGTTCCTAGATGTACTTGACACTGCTGTTTTGACGTTTTTTGTATGGTATAATTTGAGTTCATGATTGACGAGCGAGACTATTAATAATCTATTAAAATAAATCACAAAATTCGTTCCATACTCTCATTGGTTACAGTGGTCACAATGAAAAAACTTCTGAAATCAGAAAAAGAACTTCTAATCTTCTAATGGACTACTAGGGAATTTCTTTTTTAACTTTGTAACCTGTAGAGTTAATTTGGGGTTAGTGGCACAGAACTCATACAACTTGGAAAGTCAATATTGTCAAGAAAGCATCATTTGGATCATTTTGACATTTTGATATTTGTATCTTGATCTTGTCTGACTTGTCTTGTCTTTGTATTTCCAATTTTCCACGCCGGCTTGTGTCTAGTAAAAGTGTCGTTGATCGTTGATATGGAAAAGTAGAAAATTAATCTGTTGTATTGTAAAAAATGGAATCTAATCAAACAGTGAATTTGTATGTAACGTATGTAGAGAAAGAAGGACCTTTCTTGAAGATATGGGGTCAAACGGAGAAAAACAACGCAATTTATGTGGAACAGTTCCTTGCTGGTGCAAGCCAGCACTTCGATATGGGAGTCGGCAAAGTTCCACCACAAACTTTACAACCTGGTACTTTAGCATGTGCAAAATATAAGGATAACAAATATTACAGGGCTAGGATTATGAATATGTGCATCCAGGACACTTTTGTAGAGGTTAGCTTTGTAGACTTCGGCAACAAGGACATTGTGTCTTCGGAAAACATCAGGAGCTTACAAAATTTTCCCTCATCATTTATTTCTATTCCCCCACTGGCTATAGGCTTTATATTTGCAGAGGCTCATTGTGTAGGAGGTGGAGTTTGGGATGATAGAGTCTTTGAAAATATATCCAAAGAAATAAAGTACAGGGAAGTGCAGTGTCAATTATTGATTCAAGCTACACAGTACTTCCTTGTAAAAATCTACATAGATGGGACAGACTTATGTTCTATCTTGATTCAACGTGCACTGATGCAACCCATCACTTTGCAAGCACAACAAGCTGTTTTACTCAGCATGAGTATGCAAAAACAGATGATTCAGCAAGTGGTTCAACCTGCTCAAACTACCACAGCTACAATAAATACTTATAAAGCTTGCACTTTGGAGCCAGGGTGCCAATACCAGGTGTATGTTTCCTATGTCAATGATGGACCTTGCCAGTTTTCTGTACAGCTCAAGCAAACTGAAGATGCCTTGGCTAAATTGATGAGTGATATAAATTCTGCTGGGCTAAGATTGCTGGAAGACTTGCCTATTCCAGGAACTATTTGTCTAGCAAAGTGCCAGGAAGATGACAGTGTGTGTAGGGCTGTTGTTACCAATGAAGTTGACAATCAGTTCAAGGTGAGATGGAAATTCCTACTTCTGTTAATTTTGTGTGTTAATTCAACTTTCCTGTGTCAGTAAAAATTCTCTAATTATTATTATTTCATGTCTACTACATAATTCCAAGAAAAATTGATGTTTTCTAGGTATTTTATGTGGATTTTGGCAACTATGAAGTAGTACCAATTGATGCCCTTTATCAAATTCCCTTCAAATATGTTCTTCCCAAAGTGATGGCAATAAGATATTCCCTTGCTGGTGTTGAAAAATCCACCTTGACCATGGAAATGCAGCTAGCATTTAAACAATTTGTGGACAACCGCCTGCTTCACATGAAAGTCCTGCCAACACCAACTAGGATGGCTATTCCCAAGTGTGAGCTGTGGGATCCTGAGACTAAAATTAGTGCTTTAGAGGTTGTGAATCGTGCTGCTCAACATGCATATCCTGAGCCCATCTCATTGACCAGAGGATTCAGCCAAAATGTCAAGGTATGGAAAATGAAAGGGTATTACATTTCTTATCAAATTAGGGAGGAACTATGTTGAATATTTTGTAAATCTAACTTCAATTGAGTTGCAAGACTTGCAAGTAGTTATGTGTGAAAAGTTACCTGGTAATTTCCCTATATCAAGCTTGAATTTCTCAAGGAACATTTGAAAGAATTACAGAGATTTCCATTGAATAATTCTCTGGAATCTCACTGAATTCTAAGGAATTGCATTGCATTTCAAGAAATTTCAGAGTATTTCTAGGAAATATTCTGAAGGATGCCAAAGGAGTCCAAGAAATATTTCAAATTCCCAAGAATTTCTAAAACTTGAAAAGACTATATCTATCCCAAAGTATGTCAGAAAATTAAAAGGAATTTTGAAGCATTTCAGAGAAGGCCAAGATATTCCAGAAATTCAGAGGATTAAAAATCATTTTCCAGGAATCCCAGGATTTCTGAGGGACTCCAAAGTATTACCATGAATTTCCAAAGTATTACCATGAATTTCCAAAGTATTCCAAGGTATTTCAAAAGATTCCAAGGCTTCCCAATAGATTCCAAACAACACTGTGAACAGATTTTGTGGTATTCCAAAGGATAATGAAGATTTTTGAAGGAATTCAAGGTTTCAAAGAGTTCCTATGATTTTCAAAATATCACAGGGGAGGTGAATTTAAAATTTTTCAAGAGATTTCAAGGCTTCCCAATAGATTCCAAACAAGGCAAACTCTGTGAACAGATTTTGTGGTATTCCAAAGGATAATGAAGATTTTTGAAGGAATTCAAGGTTTCAAAGAGTTCCAATGAATTTCAAAATATCGCAGGGGAAGTGAATTTAAAATTTTTCAAGAGATTTCAAGGCTTCCCAATAGATTCCAAACAAGGCAAACACTGTGAACAGATTTTGTGGTATTCCAAAGGATAATGAAGATTTTTGAAGGAATTCAAGGTGTCAAAGAGTTCCAATGAATTTCAAAATATCGCAGGGGAAGTGAATTTAAAATTTTTCAAGAGATTTCAAGGCTTCCCAATAGATTCCAAACAAGGCAAACACTGTGAACAGATTTTGTGGTATTCCAAAGTATAATGAAGATTTTTGAAGGAATTCAAGGTTTCAAAGAGTTCCAATGAATTTCAAAATATCACAGGGGAAGTGAATTTAAAATTTTTCAAGAGATTTCAAGGCTTCCCAATAGATTCCAATCAAGGCAAACACTGTGAACAGATTTTGTGGTATTCCAAAGGATAATGAAGATTTTTGAAAGAATTCAAGGTTTCAAAGAGTTCCAATGAATTTCAAAATATCACAGGGGAAGTGAATTTAAAATTTTTCAAGAGATTTCAAGGCTTCCCAATAGATTCCAAACAAGGCAAACACTGTGAACAGATTTTGTGGTATTCCAAAGGATAATGAAGATTTTTGAAGGAATTCAAGGTTTCAAAGAGTTCCAATGAATTTCAAAATATCACAGGGGAAGTGAATTTAAAATTTTTCAAGAGATTTCAAGGCTTCCCAATAGATTCCAAACAAGGCAAACACTGTGAACAGATTTTGTGGTATTCCAAAGGATAATGAAGATTTTTGAAAGAATTCAAGGTGTCAAAGAGTTCCAATGAATTTCAAAATATCGCAGGGGAAGTGAATTTAAAATTTTTCAAGAGATTTCAAGGCTTCCCAATAGATTCCAAACAAGGCAAACACTGTGAACAGATTTTGTGGTATTCCAAAGTATAATGAAGATTTTTGAAGGAATTCAAGGTTTCAAAGAGTTCCAATGAATTTCAAAATATCACAGGGGAAGTGAATTTAAAATTTTTCAAGAGATTTCAAGGCTTCCCAATAGATTCCAATCAAGGCAAACACTGTGAACAGATTTTGTGGTATTCCAAAGGATAATGAAGATTTTTGAAAGAATTCAAGGTTTCAAAGAGTTCCAATGAATTTCAAAATATCACAGGGGAAGTGAATTTAAAATTTTTCAAGAGATTCCAAGGCTTCCCAATAGATTCCAAACAAGGCAAACACTGTGAACAGATTTTGTGGTATTCCAAAGGATAATGAAGATTTTTGAAGGAATTCAAGGTTTCAAAGAGTTCCAATGAATTTCAAAATATCACAGGGGAAGTGAATTTAAAATTTTTCAAGAGATTTCAAGGCTTCCCAATAGATTCCAATCAAGGCAAACACTGTGAACAGATTTTGTGGTATTCCAAAGGATAATGAAGATTTTTGAAGGAATTCAAGGTTTCAAAGAGTTCCAATGAATTTCAAAATATCACAGGGGAAGTGAATTTAAAATTTTTCAAGAGATTTCAAGGCTTCCCAATAGATTCCAAACAAGACAAACACTGTGAACAGATTTTGTGGTATTCCAAAGGATAATGAAGATTTTTGAAGGAATTCAAGGTTTCAAAGAGTTCCAAGTAATTCCAAAATATCACAGGGGAGGTGAATTTAAATGTTTCAAGAGAGTTGAAGGCTTTCCAAAGGATTCAAACAGATTCAAAGAATTTCCAAGGGATCCTAGGATATTTTAGAGGATGCTAAGGCATTCTGAAGAATTGTAAATAATTCCATAAAACCAAATATCTTTCAACTATGTTCAGGTCAAAATTGAACAAAAAAATTATATTTTATTAAAACTCCCAGCTTATGTTCACTTTTTTTATATTTTCTCTTCATTTTCAGGTCAGTTTTGTGTACAGCTGTAGCCGATTTTATGTCCAGCTGTTCAGCAAAGAAGTTGAGCTCTCAAATCTGATGACAGAATTACAAGAAATCTGCCAATTGTCTGAACCTCTAGATCCCAGCATTTTGAAAGTAGACCTCCCTTGTTGTGCCCTTTTTGATGGTGATCAGCTGTGGTACCGCAGTCAGGTGAGTATTCATTCATTTCAATAGTGATATTTCTGGAATATTTTGACAGCTGCTGTACATAAATAAAATGTGTCAAACAAACTTTCTGTTAATTTAGAGACTTTTTGGTTATTTTTCCTCATTTCCAGGCAGTTTATAGAATCAGGTGAAAAATCATAGGAAACTTTTTTTATTCAGAATGAAAAATAATAGAAACACTTATAGACCTGATTTCATTAAAAACTACATAAATAACAAATCTGCTGCTTCATTACTATAAGTCACATTGGTTCTTATGAGTCAAATTTCCAATACTGATTCAGGCAAAATTAAATTTTCACAATTATTACAATTTTTTTAACCATATATACAATATATTATACAAAAGTGGTAGTGGCACAAATGATGAAACCAAACACTGTCATCTGTCATTCTCTTGTCTGCTCATCTCTTTTTCCCCAAAAGGGATGCACCAGATCGCGGAATTCCGGCCTCTGGCCGGACCGGATCGCCTGAATTCCGGCCGGATCGGGACCTAAATTCAAAATGTATGTGCATGCCTATTTTTATACATTAAACATTGGAAATATTGAGGCTGATTTATTTTTACTTGTTATAAAACTAGCTACAGTATGCAGAGTGTTAATTTCCATTAATTTTACCTAGATAGAAATAACTGTTTATTCAAATATTGATTTTTAATCAGCATTAACAAAATTGAAACAATTCTACTCATTCAATTGGGGAATAGTAGCCACCTGCAAAAAATAGAAAACATTGAAAAGAAGTCGGGAAACCACAGCCGCCGATCTATCATAGGCAAATAAACACACCCTTCACTGTTGAGTGTTGACCAATTACAAAATATATCTGGTCGAAAGTCGGGGCATCCCAGACGCGAACGTCGGGGAATCACAGACGCGAACGTCGGGAATCACAGACGCGAACGTCGGGGAATCACAGACGCGAAAGGAGAAATCCCAGGACCCAAACGCCTGCTAATAGTCAGTGTTGGGGATGCTATTACAATTAAGCTCTTCTACCTCCAACGAGAGAGAAAGGGAAGTTCTCTCCTCTTCCATCTTTCTCTGCAATGCTACCAACGTGGCCGCATTGAAATATAGAGACGTCCGATAAATCTTTCCTTTTTTTCTTTTGGTTCCACAATCTATCTGTTCAGTTTTTTTAACTTTACCTTTTATTTTCTAATTATTTTTAGTTTGTCCTTGAGATTTGGCTGTCTATAGAAGCGTGTTTCATTATAGTTTTTTCACTATTATTCATTAAAAAGCTCGTTGGCCATATTGGATCCGCCATCTTGAATTTCCCAATTTCGACGAAATAATCATAATTTTCGACCTCTGAAGCCCCTAGATACCAATTTTGAATAGAATCGGATCATAATTACAAAACTCGTCCACTATAGTGGCTCCTCCATCTTGAATTTCCTAATTTTCACGCAAGAATCATAATCTGCCACCCCAAAATCCCCCAGATCCCACTCTTGAATAAAATCAAATCATAATTACAACACTCGTCCGCCATATTGGTTCCTCCATCTTGAATTTCATAATTTTGACGAAAGAATCATTGTCTCCGCCCTCTAAAACCCCCAGATACCAACTTTGAATAGATTCAGACCATAATTACTAAACTCGTTCGCTATATTGGATCGACCACCTTGAATTTCCCAATTTTGACGAAAGAAGCATAATCTCCTTCCTCGAAAACCCCCAGATACCAATTTTGAATAGAATCGGATCATGATTACAAAACACGTCCGCCATTTTGGATCCGTCATCTTGAACTTCCAAATGTTGAAACATAATTCATGATCCTGAAAACCTCCAGATACCAATTTTGAATTGAATCTGATTATAATTACAAAACTCGTCCGTCATATTGGATTCGCCATCTTGAGTTTCCAAATTTTGACGAAAGAATCATATTCTCCGACCCCGAAAATCCCCAATCCATTCCGGAGGAGTTTGGCGACAAACACAGGGACAGGGAAATTTTATATATTAGATTTATTTCATATAGTATATTGAGTTGCATTTTCTGTGCAAAATGTAAACTCATCATGCCCAATCAATTGTTTATTTTTCCAATAAAATAAGGAATTGTAATGTTATGAAATCAATAAATTCTATTTTCATTTCTATTTCTATGCCTTGTAGGTGGTGAACGTTATGGGTGACAGGGTGAAAGTGCGCTACATTGATTATGGTAATGAGGAGGAGGTGCCCAGCGTGCAGTTGAGAGGTATTGAGGGAGAGCAGCTGACGGTTTTGAGGCCGCAAGCGATCGAATGCTGTCTGAACGGGTATCAGAACATGGAGGACGATGCTGAGAGAGATGCTTTGCTGGAAGAAATCGTTTTGGAGGGTAATTGAAAATGTTGGATAACAAAAGTACCGAAAAAAAATTCGTATCATTGTTCTCCTGGTTCCTTATGACGTTTTTAATAATAATAATATTTATTTCATTCTTCATTATTCGCGAGATTCACGAAGTGGGCGACATCTAGGTTATATAATACGAACTTCAAACTGGGGGAAAACAAACTGTTGTCTATGGATAAAGTGCATAGACTACATTGCATTCAGCTTGCTGTAGCTGTAGTCAAACTTGTCAATGACATTAAGTGTTAGCACTGTTGGTAGTGATGATGGTTGAGTTGGTTAATTTTTTTACATTATTACATTTTTATTAGTTTAGTGAACAGTGAACGGGTGAAGAATTGGAGATAGTTCAAACAATTCGAATTATGACGAGCAAATCAATTGACATATAAAACAGCTACAACATGTTCACAATACCCAGTTTGTCCTGCTTTGCATGAACAAATACAAATCCATTGTTTATAGAAGTTCCTCTGGACCCCAACTTCAATTTTACTTCATGTGGGGAAGATTTCATCGCCGAAGTTTGTAGACAAAGTGCAAAAATATGCTTTTTCTGCAACCGACACAAAAGTCGTCCATTTTGATACCAAAATTAGCTGTTAAATTGACGTTTCTATTACTGACACAAAAATAGGTATGTTGCTAGGCAACATATTTAGTTCCTAGGAGCTAAAGTTGAATTTTAGTTCCTAGGAGCTAAAGTTGAACTTTAGCTCCTAGGAACTAAAAAGGATCTACTGGACGTCATCAAGAATAAACAACATTGTGACGGTTGGTTATTTGGGTTGCGACGCATACCTGATTTGTTTCCGATTTCAGCAGATTTGGCATTTCATACCCATGCTGGAGATATAAATACACCTTATTATAGTTTAGTATTGGAATTATAAACATCTCAGTTAAGTATTTTTGTTTTGATCAGGGAAGCCTTCAAGATTCAAATACTTGCTTGATCTGTATTTCATTCGTTATTCTCGGGATGGATTACTTGTTTTTGAATAATCACGGCAAGCAATAGTTTTTTTGTCTCAAACAACGATATTGTTTAGCTTCATTTGATTATCAAGTCAAACACAGTGTAGTATGGAGAGGAATAAATAATCACTATTATCATTGTTGATATGCTCACTAACCTAACATTTTCCACGTCTTGTTCCTATAGCTGGCACTGGCGCGGTATTTGCCATTAGAGCACCTGGTCCATACACAGATATGTCACTATGTGGTTGTATTTATATTGAAACTACAATAATTCGAACATCCTAGAAAACCTAACCTGCTGTTGATGCAGGTAGAATATCCTCACCACAAGGATTATTTGTCAATATTTGTTGCATTGCATACATATGGCACGGCATTGGTGGTTACTTCACATGTTTATTTGAGTTAATTGTTTCGGTTGCAGAAAAAATAGCATGTTTCATTCGGATCAAAAGTGACTTTGTTCGACTCGCAAATTTTGCTTTCGCTCGGCTTCGCTAAACGCTCCGCCTCGCAAATGCAAAATTCGCTTGTCAAACAAAGTGTCACTTTTGTTCCTAATAAAACAATCTACTATTTTGTTGAAGTCTTCTGCCTCACACAAAATCACATGATTAGCACGGAGAACTGCTTCTCCTTCCTGGTCGGCTTTCTCCGTCTAAACAGAGCAAAATATCTGCCAAAAGAACATCTACAACAGGCATTATTAGCGTTTTCGATCGAATATTGACAATGGGGAAGACCACTGATTTTTTGAAATGACATTATCGTGAACTCTATACTGAAAAACTACCAGTGAATTAATTTTGAATTTTTTCATTCATGCTAAGACGATGAAAAAAATAAATTAGTATATGTCCATTTAAAAACACACAATTCCTGCGCCATTTGAAATTTCATCAATTCATTGGTGTGACTGGTGCGACGTCTCAGTCCCAACACGCCTATTGTCCTTGAACTGGCCAATTACACTGCAACACTGCAGAATGACGAGGTACCAGAGAGAGATAGCTACAGTTCGGGACTAATACGTCACGACTCCACCATCATATTTGGCTGTTTGAAATATCAAATGAAATATGCTGATTTCAAAACGATATAGATTCGATTCCCTTCAACTTCAACTCATAATATTGATTGTACATAAAATGTAAATCATGATTCGTCGATTGAAAGAGGTTTGCACGGATTTCTTCCCTCAGTGGTCTTCCCCATTATGTCAAGAAATTTTTGAACTAATGGGATTGAGTGAGGATTGAGTTTGTTTTCCCCTAGTTTTGACGTGGCTTTGACATGGAACGATGAAAACCGAGCGCCACCTGGTAACATTGATTCCCGCGAATAAACATTACATTGCATCTCATATGAATTTGAATATAGGTATTAAAGTTCTTAATGTACTAGCATGAATAATCAGACAGGTTCATATCTGGCATGAGATTATGCAAGCATTATTGAATGATGAAATGAATTAGTGAGGAAAAACGGTTAATAGAACATCGGGTAGTAAGAATTATTCTTACCTACTTATCTTTTTCACACAACTCCTAAACGGCTGAACCGATTTGGTTGAAATTTTATATGGATATTTCGAAGGTTTCCTGGATGATTTAATAATACAATTGGACGCGGTTGGTGGCGCTGCTGTCGGTAAGTACAACTACTAAATGGCTTGACTGATTGGGTTGAAATTTTCAATATGTAAAACAACAACAAAAAAATACAAAACATACTAAGAGAATGAAAATAGGTGTAAGCAAAAAAATAACAAAGAAATATGTACTGTAGATGCATAAGGAATGTCTATTCTATGTTGTATATTTTTCAACACACTTTTTTCACTATATTTTCTACCTCCTTTCAGTTTGACTATCTATAAAAGAGTATTTTATTTATTTTCTAGTTTTCATTTCGGCTAACTACGAAAGTATGTTTTGTGTTCTTTTATCCTTTGTGGGTACCCAATTATGATGAAAGAATCGTAATCTCCGACTCCGAAAACTCCCAGATACTGATTTTTAATAGAATCGGATCATGATCACAAAACCCGTCCGCCATATCGTATCCGCCAGAAACCCCCAGATACCAATTTTGAATAGAAACGGATCAGATAATCACAAAACTCGTCCACCATATTGAATCCGCCTTCTTGAATTTTCCAATTTCTTACGATATAGTAATCTCCAGCCCCAAAAATCCCCAGATACCAATTTTTAATAGAATTGGATCATAATTACTAAACTCGTCCGCCATATTGGATCCTCCATCATGAATTTACCAATTCTCAAGAAAGGATCATAATCTACCTCGAAAACACCCAGATACCAATTTTGAATAGAATCGGACAAAAAAAACAAAACTAGTCCGTCATTTTGGAGCCGCCATTTGGTTTTTCGTCTATCAAGAATTTCATGATGCATTGCCACCAGAATTAGTGATAGAAAATAAACTTGCGCCACCTATCGAAGTTTTTGAAAGCTCTCAAAGCGGTCTGTTTACTTTGTTTTCAGTGGTTCACATTTGTTTTCAGTTCGTGCTTATTGGTCATATCATCAAAACAAACCGCTCAGAAGTGTTCAAGTTGTTTCCGTCAGGTGGAGCGACGACTTATTTTCTATCGCGAATTATGTACACCTGCCAGATTTCAAATCAGTCGGTTCGTTTGAAGTTGGTACAAAATCGAGTCCAAAGGAGTTGGTTACATATATATAGAGATGAAGCTAATAAAAGCCAACAAAAGGGTGTTGAAAAAGATTCAGAATACATAAAAATCAGAAGATAAAGTTAGAGAAAATAGAGACTAGTGAGAAGTGAGTTAGAAGAGAATGAATGGAAAGGTGAAAGATTGAGAAAGTGATCAAAAAAGAGGGTGAATGAGAGAGTGATTAAAAATAGGGCGATTGAAAATTGGGGTGATTGAGGAGATGATTGAAAATTAGGGTGATTGAGAAAGTGATTAAAAAAAGAGGAGGAAGTTAATAAAAAAGAGGAGGAAGGTATTTAAAAAAGAGGGCTATTGAAAAGTAGATCAAATAAGATGGTAATTTTGAAATAGGGTGATTGAGAAAGTGATTTAAAAAGATGTTGATTGGGAAAGTGATTAGAATAGAGAGTGATTGAAAGAGTGAGAATGATGGAGATACAAATAGTGAGATGAGTAGAGATAGTGAGATTGAGTGAGCAGATATTAAGAAGAAAGAGAGAGTGATTGAAAAATGATGGTGAGTGAGAATAGATATGATGAGTGAAGAGATGGTGAATGAGAATAGATAATGAGTCAGAAGAGATAGTGAGCGAGATGAGATGGCTAGATGGAAATAAGAAGAGGGGGTAGAGAGAGGGAGAGATAGTGAGCGAGATGAGATGGCTAGATGGAAATAAGAAGAGGGAGTAGAGAGAGGGAGAGAGAGTGCATTGAGTAGAGATTGAATATATCAACTCGCATTATCCTAGGTGTGTTCACTATGAAAGTAGTCGAAATGCTGGATAAAAAGGCGTTAGTGGACCTTTACGACGCCTCGAATTACAACGTGGCATCGTTGCTCTTGGACAAGATAGCGGCCGCAAAGTCTCAAGTCAGTCCCATGTTGGTGCAAGCCGGCAACAAGATCGAGCACAGGAAGTCCCATTCTCCGAAAGAGTGGCAGAATAATGGCAGAGAACAGAATTTCAGAGGGGACAGAGAACGGAATACGGGGAGGTGAGACTTTTTACGCGTACGCGTGTATGTTCGGTTACTTTTAAGTATGTGAATGTGAAAAACACGTTTTTCCACCATTAATTTTTCTAAACCTAGGTAAATGATGATGAATTGGTTAATAAATTTTGCCTAGGTAGATAAAACTATCAATAGTATCAATGATATGCACTATACACACATAAGATACCCATGCGTATGCAACCAATGAAAAATGAATCATTCTTAAAAACAAATATACTACAAATCTCATTGAAGCTGAAAGCAATTTTTGAAGTATGCAAGTTGTTTGGAATGATGTGATTATTATTAATTCTTCAAAATGTCACAACTCACTACACAAATCGTACGTGAGCTGTCACTGTCATGTGTCATGGTTTCTGCTCTGGTAAATCTACCATTACTAACGTTTTAACATATCAGAACTTCCTGTTGAACGCCTTTGAGAATAATACCCAAGTTGATAGTATATATACCGATTCATCAAAGGCGTTTGACAGGGTGAGTCATACTTCATTATTAGCAAAACTCAGGGATATCGGTATAAATCTGGGTTTGGTAGCATGGCTTGAGAGTTTCTTAGTTGGTCGTCAACAATGTGTGAGAATCAAAAGAGGAGTTCCTCATGGCTCTCATTGTGGACCGTTACTTTTCAAATTGTTTGTCAACGATATTAGCAAACATATCTTTCACTCTGTTTTTACGCTATATGCAGATGACTTCAAAATATTTAAAGAAATTCAGCATCATATGGATATTGATCTGCTGCAATCTGATTTGGATAACTTCAATGTTTGATTTGAGTATTTGAGTATTTATTCAATATCCATGAACAGTCAAATGGTTTACTTACATTCAGGTACAAAATGAGCTTTAAAAAGCTTGTGTGTGCACCAGTCACATTTATAACACAATTCACCTATGAGTGAATTTGCTAATGAATCGTCTTATATACTATATATACTATACTATCTGGACTAATATGTACTAATGTAATATACAATCTGAATATATACAATATATGCAATATTTGTCAAACTAATAACTAGATATTGGGTTTGCTTTTTAAAATCCAAGATGATATTTAATTTTTGATTTTTTTGTATGGTTTGCCTTTGAGTTCGTTTGGCAGTATGTTATATATTTTTGGTCCTATATAAAATATACTTCATTGAATGGTTACATAAGATGTAGTAGGAACAATTACATTTTCATTTGTTACTGATCTAGTTGTTATAACATGATTAACTTTCGGTACATTCATTTTTGATAGATATCTTACAGCAGATTTTAAGTATAATTGAGAAATGTCAAGAACACCTGCATCTTCAAAGAGTTTGTCAGTAGGAAATGTTTTATTTCTGAACATTATAATTTTTAGAATGTATTTTTGTGCTACATTTAAAGGAGTCATGGCATTAGCATAAGCTGAACCCCAGGCTGAGATTCCATATGATAACACAGACTCTATCAAAGCCCTATAAATATTTAGGGTTGATTATTTGGACCTTAATATTTCAAAGTGTTTTTGTATCAGTTTTTCAATAATTATATTGAGAATGCTTATGGAATGAATAATTCTGTAATGAAGAGAGTCAATGAGATAAAGGACTTATTCATAATAGTTGATGTTAAACTAACTTTTAGGAGTCATATTACTAAGGTGGTGAACACTGCTTCAAGGAACTTAGGATTCATTACTAGGAACAGTAAACAATTCTCTGCTGAAACACTTAGTTCACTTTATTGCCATTTGGTCAGACCTTCACTAGAGTATGGTTCCATCATTTGGACACCTTTTTATCAAATACATATTGATAGTTGAGAACGAATTCAGAAAAGGTTCTTGAGAACATATTCATATCACAAGGGTTATCAAGTTGCTCATATAAACTACCCAGATATCTTAATGGAACTTAATCTCCTAACTTTAGAAAATCGTAGATTAGTGTTGGATATGTGTTTCCTATATAAATTGGTAAATGGCCTTATTAATTCTCCAAATCTACTTAGTTTGATTAGATTCAATACGTCGGCCAGAACAAGAAATCTTCCTTTATTTTCCTTGACCTTTCACTCAACGAATTATGGCAACAATAACCCTATTTCAAGGCTTCAAAGGAATTATGTTGTTCTTCAAAATCATTGTGACCTATTCTGTGGCAGTTTAAGTGAATTCAAAACTAATGTTGTGAAAATAATTATGAATATCTAGTTAATGTAAAGAGTATAACTTGAGTGCTATTTTTCTATGAGTGTAATTTCCATTGCTCCTATTATTATTCATATTTTGTTATTATTTCTTTTATAAAAATGGTGTAACCGTTGAAATAAATGAGTAAATTAATACTGTACTGTGTACTTCTGTACGTCTGCAATAATATTTTTCTCATAGGGAAACTAACACTTGGAATGAACGATCAAATGATCGAGCGGATAAACCTTGGAGGCAAAATAATCGAGAAAATCGGTGAGTCGATGATTTTCATTTTTCAAATTCTGAACTTGTGTTATCAAAGATCACAGAGTGTTTGGAAATTGACTGTCCAGTTTATGTGGGACGATGATAATTTTACAAAATATAAATTATTATATTTTCAATCACCCTGTTCTTTAGTAAATGTTGAATAATTGGTTTCATAATGTTTGTATTATACAGCACTAGTGGAAAATATAGAAGAAGGTACATATTCTATATTCTGCAATAATAATTTCACTTTCTTTTTCATTTTCATCAAAGTTTTGGCATGAATTAAGTCAGCTTCAACTTTAGAATAAGGAGTGATTTCATTTAAGAAGTATGTTTACTTGAAGGTGTATCAATATTTATAATAAAAATTGCAAAAGCAAATGGAAAAGTTGTTGCAATTTTTTATATTTGATATATAATTATGTACTTTGGAAGACAATTGTTTATCATAATGAAATTCTTATAATCTAAGCTTTTATTAGTTGATCAAATATTGCAATCTTTTATTCATGCTTTTCTGTAAATTGATATTCAATTTGTTCATCTTTTTTATAGAAATTATGACAATTCAAATGATGGTAATGAAAGAGGTTCTTGGAGACAAAATAACAGAGGATTTAGGTGAGTCATCAGTATAACCATATAACTAAACTACTCAACACTAATTTCGTCGCACACCAAAATGTAGCCCCTGTTATAATGTGAATAACTTTTTTCAGTTTGAAACAATTTGAATTTGGTTCACACTGTTCGATAGCCCAGTTCTTCAGCTATAATCTCGTACTTCATTGAAACATAAGGGTATTCACATAAAATTTCTACATGGTGTTTTCCGACACTGTGCAAAATTTCGGAATATTCAAAAGGCTCTCAAATGGTGGAAAATTTTTTTTTCTCAACTTCGACAACAGAGGCATGAAGATGATCTCATTACTTCGAGATGTTCCGCGAATCAACTTCCTATCTCTCTTATTTAAAGAGTGATCTCAAAAAATCAACTTTTTGGTTTTGCAGCCATAACTTTTTTCCACGTCAACCGATTTTAGAAATCTTAGGCTCATTTTGAAGATAAAACTTCAGATGAAGAGATCTGAATATCAGAATTGACTCAAGATGGCTATCAGAGATCTAGAGTTTTCTTGAGAGTGACCCAAATCTGGAACGCCCTCCGAATCTCGGTTGGGAGGAGAATTGAATGGAAATCAACTTTTTCTCGGAAAAACAATTCATTCTGGTTGCGTCCATATTTTCCTCGCTCTCAGTAGTCAAGAATTGTGCGTGAGAAAACACAATTGAAACATGTTCTTGCAAAAACATCAAACCATTTCTCCTCTGTAATGCATGGCCCGTAACCAACGTTACAAGAATCACAATGGACTGACAAACCCGACCAGCTAAGGCTCATCATAAATGATGTACCAACAACCCTATGCGGTCTCGCATTGTCATCAACGAGAACAAAGTTGTCACCCACATTCGCGTTAGATGCGGCATCGAAACTATCGAAATCTGTTTATGATTCGAAAACGACGTCTAACCTGACTTGTTAGTCACTTACTGTGATTCTTGTAACGTTGGTTACGGGCCATGCATTACAGAAGAGAAATGATCTGATGTTTCTGCAAGAACATGTTTCAATTGTGTTTTCTCACGCACTTCCTTGACTACTGAGAGCGAGGAAAATATGGACGCATCCAGAATGAATTGTTTTGTCGAGAACAAGTTGATTTTCATCCAATTCTCCTCCCAACCGAGATTCGAAGGGCGTTCCAGATTTGGGTCACTTTCAAGAAAACTCTAGAACTTTGATAGCCATCTTGAGTCGATTCTGATATCCAGATCTCTTCATCTGAAGTTTTATCTTCAAAATGAGCCTAAGATTTCTAGAATCGGTTGACGTGGAAAAAAGTTATGGCTGCAAAACCAAAAAGTTGATTTTTTGAGATCACTCTGTAAATAAGAGAGATAGGAAGTTGATTCGCGTAACATCTCGAGGTAATAAGATCATCTTCATGCCTCTGTTGTCGAAGTTGAGAAAAACATTTTTTTCACCATTTGAGAGCCTTTTGAATATTCCAAAATTTTGCACAGTGTCGGAAAACACCATGTAGAGATTTTATGTGAATACCCTTATGTTTCAATGAAGTACGAGATTATAGCTGAAGGACTGGGCTATCGAACAGTGTGAACCAAATTCAAATTGTTCTAAACTGAAAAAAGTTATTCACATTATAACAGGGACGACATTTTGGTGTGCGACGAAATTAGTGTTGAGTAGTTTATAACATATAATTGTTGGGAAGGCTTATGATGTTCAAGAGTGTTTGGAAGATGCCTTAGTTGTTTTATTTGATATATTCTTTTAACAATTTCAAGGTGTGAAATTGTTGTTCCTGTATTTCTATTTTGAAGTTTTTGTTAACTGTATTTCTTGTTTATATTTATATTTCTTTTTTGACCCTACATTGATATATTTTGTTACTTTTTCCATGGGATTATTATTATATTTTGACAGTAAAGAATATCTGTCATGCAAATAAAAAAAAACACCGAATTCCGAAAAGTACCTACCGTTTCTTGTCACGCTTCTCAGCCCGAATACTCAGCGGTCCGACAACAGGGATAACGCCCAGAAGCAGGACAGTTGGAACAACACGGCCAACAACAATACCGAACCAGCCCCCACCGAAGAATGGAACAACACTGGCTCGAACACGGTGGTGAACGACGAATGGAACACCCCCACTAACGATACCGGGTACGGAAATGACAGGCGCCAGAATGATTACGGAAAGAACAGAGGAGGGTAAGACATGAGACTAAATAACAATTGATAGGCACTGCAATTCATTAATGAATCATTCAAAAGTATTAAACATGAATCCTAAGAACCAAACACGGATAAATGAATAGAATCGCGAATGGTGGGGATAACTCTTCGAAATCATTGCCAGGGAATCGATATTCTTTATAGGTTCATTTTATACATCTGATGAATCAGGATTTCTAGAAATGTCTGTATGTCAACATGCCAAAAAATCGTTAGAAATACATAATATCATGTTCAATTATTGTTTATTTTCCATCTTCTTCAAACATGACTTGAAGGCTTCCTTCCATTTGGGAAATACAGCAAGTACTCATTGAATTTATTTAAAAAAACATCATTTTTGACAGTTTTGTCTTTGACAGCAATCTGCACCGTTCGTTTATTCTGATTTATACGTCCAATCCGCGGTCACATGACCATAAAATCCCTGGTATCTCATATGTGATTGCCGAACTTCAGTAGTTGATTATTTTTTATGTAATAAAACTCTTCCAGTCGTTTTATATTATAACTGCTTCACTCCACTTTGAGATAATATGGACTTCTACAGGAGATTAGTTGATTATTTGTTATCCTAACCCTAGAAATTCCTGTCAAGATTCATCTTTCTATCAAGAATTTTTGGAGAGAACATCATTTTATAAACCCTTTGCTTTGGAGAAGAATTTAGTGGGCTTGTTGATTTGAACATTTATTTTTGGTTGAATAAGTGAATATTCAGGGGGGTTTATCAAATTTCTAGGTTTGACAGGGACAACAGGAGAGATGGGAGAGGAGATGGAAGAGGAGATCGTTTTGATGGAAATCAGAGAGATAGAGAATTCAGAAAGAAGCCAGATTACAGAGGGTTAGTATATTTTATATTTTGGACTACAAAATCCAAATTTTAATCGGATTATCAAAAATGTTCTTTTATGCTGATTTTCCCCTCATGATAGACCTGAAGAATTGGAAAAAAAAATATCCCAAGACTTCTGTTTTTTTTTTCGAAGAACACAATGGACCAAGTTACTACAAATGCAAATTTTCTGGGAATTGTACTTGATGCTAAACAGAGGAAATTAGCGAGTGTGCTTTTTTATTTAGCAACTCAGTAGGTTGACAAGCCTAGAAGTTCAAAGAACAGCATATTTTTTCTCTTTCGCACAGTCACATATATGGCACCGTCCTATGGGGGGGGGGGGCTCCACGGATTCCATAAGAGTTTTTAGGCTCCAAAAAAAGGCTAGGAATATTATCCAAAGTTGGTCCCCGTGAACACTGTCTTCCTCTCTGCACAAAATTGGGTAATTCACGTTTTCAACACACTGGTTCAAATCTTTAGTCAAAAAGATTCTCTCTGTCGGCAGTCAGATATCCACTACTATAACACCTGTAATGCATCAATGGTCAGACCTCAAATATTTAGACTTGATGTCAGCAAGAAACACTCTCAATTATAATCTTTATAAGATCCTTCCTGATACAGTGATGTGCATGGCGATCGGTCCATTTAAGACTTTCATATATATCTGCCAGTGAAGTGCTAGGGCGACAACATTTTGTACGTAGTATACTGTCTAAATGGATACTTGTCTTTGTTTGTTGGATTCTTAAAATTTTGATTTTGTAACAAATCTGTGAAAAAAGCCGATCTCACTGTGCCCAACATAAGCTTGTCAGGAGTAACCATACCTTTGAAGACATCCATCTTGATGCTTGGTATTACTATCAGCAATAACCTTAGGAAAATTACGTGAGATCAATTGCTAAAAGTGCATCCCAAAAACTCGGTTTTCTATAAGGCGCACCCCTTGGTGGTCACTTGCCCTGCAGAACATCTCTTTCCAAAGACTCGTTCATCCAACGAACAGCGAGGCTCTGGAACACATTGCCAAAGGAGGTGTTTTCCGAGGCATATAACCTCCAGAAATTTAAGAAGAACACCAATTCCTTCCTCATTTGCCTTGGTTCTCACGATGTTCTCTGAACATTAAAGGATAACCCTTTTCGTGGGAATCAGAACATGAAAAAAAGTGTTGCTTCCATGTTTGGTAAGAGGTGTCTTTGATTGAAAACAGTGCCACCATTCCATTCCTTCCCTCTACTCCTCTTTTTTTATTCGCAGAGGTGGCTCAGACGACGGCTCGGAGACGGGCTACCACAAGGGTCCGCGTACCAGCTCGCGCAACGACCGTCCCGCCTACCAAACCCGGCACGACCGCAACTTCGACTCGAAACCGCCGCGCCAATCGTCGTTCGACGACAAGGCCGAGGATTCGTGGAACGTGAGCGCCGTCACCGCCCCCACGTCGGAGCCCGTCCCCTTGGACCCCGCCCCCGCGACGGCGGTGTACGGTAGTTGCGAGGTGGTGGGGACGGAGGGGACCGTGGGGATCAGTTGGTTTCACAATCCGGGGCTGTTTTACTGTCAGCTGTTGGATTTCCAGGCGAGTACTCGTCATTTTTTTTTTAAATAATCAAATATACACACCAGAGCAAACCTAAAAACTACAGACCAATAACCCTTTTACCAGTATTAGGTAAAAACCTGGAAAAAATAATCAAGGTGCTGGCTGAAGAACACATATGTGTATGGATTTCGACACAAATGTGGAACCATTCACCCAATTTCAGTCCTCGTATCAAATATACAAACAAGCAAACTTTCCGGATTTCGTAGTGCAGCTATCTTTCTTGACATTAACAAAGCTTTTGACAGCGTGTGGCACAAAGGAATACTTTACAAATTATGTACTTTGAACTGCCCTAAGCATATAATACACTTAATAAAGGATAACCTAGACAGAAGGTCCCTACAAATAAAAGTACATCAGGCACAATCAATAATTTTCCACCCGCATCAAGGACTTTCTCAGGGCTCACCCTTGTCTCCATTTCTCTACAATATATACTGTTTCAATTAGAACAATCAAAATCTACAAAATCAAAACACATTCATCTATTTGCAATAGAAAATAACTCGTCGCCCCACCTGACGGCAGCAACTTGAACACTTCTGAGCGGTTTGTTTTGATGATATGACCAATTAGCACAAACAAAAAACAAATGTGAACCAATGAAAACAAAGTAAACATGCCGCTTTGACAGCTTTCAAGAACTCCGATAGGTGTCGTACGCTTATTTTCTATTGCGAATGGCATACAATTTGCTGATGATACAGCCATTATAAGTCATCATAAATCACTTGAAAACGCAATTCGGAACACTATGAGATGGTGTGACAAGTGGAGGCTAAAACCAAATCCAGAAAAATCGGGTTAGCTTTTTAACGTTTGAGTTCGGAAATCACGGTGTCAAGCGAGATGGTGTGGTATTGTTTGGTGTAGTGTGAAAGTCACGTGATTTTGGTGTAATTTGCTCATAGCACTGCACGGAAAATAAACGAACACACATTGGCGTCATGGTGCCCGTTTGACAAACAACAACAACAACGAACTCGGATGTCAAATTATTTTGTAAATATGGTAAATACATATTCACTGATTTGCTGCATTCACCAACTGATGGATCATCATCAAAAGATGGATTGTTCAACAAAACACATACGATTAATATTCAGATTTATCAATACACGGCATACACGCAAACTATGTAAAAAGCTTCGAGAATAGGACATTCAGAAATATCAGTTGAAGAAAACTGCTATCTCCATGTGTACCTTTTTTCATTGGCTTCATTTTATTTTCATTCAAGTTGAATAACAATCTACAGAAAAACAATTAGCTGTTCACTGAACAAGATAATGAATTTTTCACATTTGTATACTTGTGATAACTAGGATAATTCGGCAGGAAATGATAATGAACGCTTTGATGATTATTCTTTGGTTTAACTTCAAATGAGTCTTGTCAATGAACTTTGGGGTTAACATTTTTGGTGTTCCAATAACCACAGACGAAAACTGAGGAGTAAAAAGTGTGAACACTAATCACACCTATCTCTCTATTCAGAACGTTGAATAGTGCACTCTGCACTTAGACCTAATCATTTGACGAACGGAACGGTGAACACTGTCAGAAGTGTAGACACTTTTCCATTTCCGAACTGAATGCAGATTCCGTAATTTATAACCCCAACACTGAAACGATGCGTTTGTTTGATAGCCTCAACAACAATCGCTCGTCAATAAGACAAATTGATCGTTGATCATCAACGATCAATCACGTGACGAATGATTGAATAATTACAGGACAAGTTCAAAACGATGATGGAGGAGATCCAGCAGTTCTACAAGAACAGGAAACCGGAGCGCGCTGTCGTCGGCGCGCCCGTCATCGGTCTGTTCCCCGAAGACAACGTCCTCTACCGCGCCCAGATCCTGCAAGCCACCGGCGCCGAATACAAAGTCTACTACGTCGACTTCGGCAACGTGTCCACCGTGTCGAAGGTGTGGCCCATCGAGAAGAGGTTCATGGAGACGCCGGCGCAGGCGATCGCGTGCGGGCTGCGCGGGGTAGGTGGTGTTGGGGGGGACTGGGGCGACGCGGACCGGTTCGGGAGCTATTTCGACAAGCCGAGCTTCGTGTGCCGCTTCGTGGATAAAGTGGAGGGGAAGTAAGTGGAATTTGAGTGATTTGTCGCCGTCGTTGGGTTGCAAATATAAATATGGTTGTAGATAAGATTGAAAAGGAACATTCTCACATATATATTAATGAACACAAAAAAATGGATATCCAGTCACGGATTGATGAAAATTATAAATGTAGCTTCTTGTCCTTGGACCTATGTAAGGCATTTGACACTGTAGATCATACCATTTTACTAAATAAATTACATTCAATCTGTGTCAGAGAAAGAATTCATGATTGGTTCACACATTATTTGACAAATAGAAAGCAGTATGTTGAAGTGGATGATACTTCTGGCTCACTAAAGAATGTTACATGTGGAGTACCGCAAGGATCAGTTCTGGGACCAATTTTATTTATAATTTATATTATTTCAATATCAACTCTGGAATTGAAAGGAAAGCTGAAATTATTTGCGGATGATACAACATTGATTTATATATCAAAAGAATTAAATGATATCGAACGGGATAGCAAAAGTGATTTGGAAAACATATCATCTTGGATGCAAATTCATGAGTTGACTCTTAATTATAGCAAATCTTCATATATGTATATTTCCAAAAGATCAGTTAATATTTGGAATAATGCTACTTTCAACAATAGATTAATTAAATATACAGACGTGACGAAATATTTAGGTCTCTATATCGACGAAAAATTATTATGGACTAATCATATAGACCATTTGAGAAATAAAATAAATCCGATCATAGGCATTTTATTCAAAATCCGAAATATTATTCCCATAAAATACTTGAAATGTATTTACTTTTGCCTCATTCATTCAAATTTGCAATATTTAATTTCTATTTGGGGGAGTACAAATATTTCATGTCTGAAACCACTAATGAAATTACAAAACAAATCAATTAAGTGCATTTTTCATCTATATTTTCTAGAACCAACGATAAATTTATACAAACCAAGACATTTTCTGAATCTGATTTCGTTATATAAACTTAAAATATGTTGCTTTATTCATTTTGCCAGGAATAAATTGAAAATATCAAATTTAGCTTTTAATGAAGTCAATACAGTCCATAGGGACTAGACAATTGAATTACTTGATAGCAAATACATTCAAGTCAAACATTGGCAAACAATCTGTTTTTCACAATGGAATTATTTTATATAATTCATTACCGAATGAGTTGAAAAATATACATGATGCAAGAAGGTTGAAATCAATCTTGAAAAAATACTTGCTCAGGACAATTTGAATGAAAAATAATGTGGCATGATTTGATTACTTGAAAATAAAATATAACTTTAATTTTAAGAAACAATATAAAGTGTGGAATTCATTAGTTAACCCTTTATTATTATTTTTATTATATGTATTCATGTATCCCTATCATAAACAGTAATGTTTCTTGGGGTAATAAAGACAATCAATCAATTCGCATTCTCCATGTGATGAAAATATTAATTCTTTGTCGGTTTATTCAACAGAAAATAACTACTTTTCTGGCTATATGCAACGACGAACATTGAATTATATCTATTGAACATCCAAATAGAGAGCATGAAAAATGAAAATCCTCTGAAATTGATAATGGACATTATCTCCCAAATCGGATGAAATAATATGATATATTATGATATAAAAATATAACTTACCAATATGTTCAGTATTGAAATGAAAATTGAAATTTATAGGAGAAGTATACTTGTATAAACTCTGATCTTGATGAGCTTGGAACTTCCAAAAAAAAATCATTGGTATCACTGATATGGGAATTATATCTCTCACAAACAGGTTATATGACTTCACTGGAATAAACTCATTTCGGATATAAAATCCTCATCAGTAACCTGAAGTCCAGTTATATTTTCAGCCATTCTTCATGATATACACAATTTTCATCTCTCTATAATATAACTAAAACAACATTGATGATAATTTCGAAATTCTACACGTTGAAAATAAAGGACTGAAACTCAATCATTTCGAATCATTAGAAATCAACAATTCACCACTGTTGAATTTGTTTTCTTAGTAGGTAAGTAATAATATATATTTGCTATCAACTCCGAGATCAACTCTTTCAAGTTAATCCGGTATACTGTAATGTAATGTAGATATTGTGCCTAATTTCCGAAAATGGAGCTTTATCGTACCTGTCCACAGGTAACTAATCCTTCAGGTTGGGAAAGTAGGATATAAAAGTCAAGCAAGCCAACGTTAGTTTAGTTCATTGTACCAGTATATCACCTGACGAAGCTACTGTGTTAGCGAAACATGTCATGTGTTTGAGAATTTTGTGGAAATCTTATCGTTTGTGACATTCACCCTGTTTTCGTCGTTCCAGGACTTTGGTGGACATATTCCATGGCTCTGAAGACGTGGCCCAGCAGCTGATGCGCGACGGACTGGCCGTGTCAACGCTGACCACCGTGCCGGACATGGAGATCGCCCTTTTGCTGGGACAACAGCTCAGAGCGACGCTGATGAGCGTCAACAATCTATCCGACATCATGATAGGCAAGTATGAATTGAGAAAACACTGTATATTACTTACCCATCAGGCGCCTACCTCGGTTGCAAAGAGGATTTACCGACTCCAAGGGTTGATACTCTCCCTTCGTAAGGGTACCTGTCGTGTCTCCATTGAGACATAAAGGTGACTATAAGAAAAATTTCTATGATACATCGCTTTCCATAACAAATATAAAATGTTGAAGAAATATTCGAAATGAATTGAATATAATACGGAACAGGAATGAGATACTCATCACCGGCAGCTGGTTTCTGGTCTGGTCTGTGCAATTTTTCCATTGGGCTTAAATGGTCGATTTAATACACGTTGCTTCTGCGACCTAAAATATATTAATTACAATTTTTTTTATAAATCGGGAATTTCAATTATGTAAGTTACATGGGATATGAAACTGAGATATAAATTGAAACTTTGTTCAAATTCCGTTGCTGAAATGATGATACATCGCCTTCTATGACAAATATGAAATTTTGAAGAAATATTAGAAATGAATTGAATATAAAACGAAACAGAAATGATATACTCATCACCGGTAGCTGGTTTCTGGTTTGGTTTCCACTTCTGTTCAATTTTTCCACTAGGCTTAAATTGCCGATTTTAAACACGTTGCTTCTCCGACCTGAAACATTGTTGGTATTAATTCAATTTTTTTATAAATCGTTAATTACAAATATGTAAGTTACATGGAATATGAAACTGAGATATAAATTGAAATTGTTTTCAAATTCCGTTGCTGAAATGCGACATATTCTTCTTTTGCTCAAAAAATGAGCACAACAGATAGCCAACAATTTTCTCCTGAATGAAAGTCACTGTATATACCTAACCCATCAGGCGCCTACCTCGGTTGCAAAGAGGGTTTACCGACTCCAAGGGTTGATACTCTCCCCTCGTAAGGGTACCTGTCGTGTCTCCATTGAGACATAAAGGTGACTATCAGAAAAATGTTTATAATACATCGCCTTCCATAACAAATATAAAATTTTGAAGAAATATTCGAAATGAATTAAATATAATACGAAACAGGAATGAGATACTCATCACCGGTAGCTGGTTTCTGGTCTGGTTTCCACTTCTGTGCAATTTTTCCATTGGGCTTAAATGGTCGATTCAAAACACGTTGCTTCTCCGACCTAAAATATAGTTGGTATTAATTCAAATTTTTTTCATAAATCGGGAATTTCAATTATGTAAGTTACATGGAATATGAAACTAAGATGTAAATTGAAACTTTTTTCAAATTCCATTGCATAAATGATGATACATCGCCTTCTATGACAAATATGAAATTTTGAAGAAATATTCGAAATGAATTGAATATAATACGAAACAGAAATGAGATACTCATCACCGGTAGCTGGTTTCTGGTCTGGTTTCCACTTCTGTGCAATTTTTCCGTGAGGCTTAAATGGTCGATTTAAAACACGTTGCTTCTCCGACCTGAAATATAGTTGGTAATAATTCAAATTGTTTTTATGAATTGGAAATTTCAATTATGTAAGTTACATGGAATATGAAACTGAGATATAAATCGAAACTGTTTTCAAATTCCGTTGCTGAAATGCGACATATTCTTCTTTTACTCAAAAAATGAGCACAACAGATAGCCAACAATTTTCTCCTGAATGAAAGTCACTGTATATACCTAACCCATCAGGCGCCTACCTCGGTTGCAAAGAGGGTTTACCGACTCCAAGGATTGATACTCTCCCCTCGTAAGGGTACCTGTCGTGTCTCCATTGAGACATAAAGGTGACTATCAAAAAAATGTCTATAATACATCGCCTTCCATAACAAATATAAAATTTTGAAGAAATATTCGAAATGAATTGAATATAATACGAAACAGGAATGAGATACTCAATCACCGGTAGCTGGTTTCTGGTCTGGTTTCCACTTCTGTGCAATTTTTCAATTGGGCTTAAATGGTCGATTCAAAACACGTTGCTTCTCCGACCTAAAATATAGTTGGTATTAATTCAAATTTTTTTCATAAATCGGGAATTTCAATTATGTAAGTTACATGGAATATGAAACAGATGTAAATTGAAACTTTTCTCAAATTCCGTTGCTGAAATTATGATACATCGCCTTCTATGACAAATACGAAATTTTGAGGAAATATCAGAAATGAATTGAATATAATACAAAACAGAAATGAGATACTCATCACCGGTAGCTGGTTTCTGGTCTGGTTTCCACTTCTGTGCAATTTTTCCGTGAGGCTTAAATGGTCGATTTAAAACACGTTGCTTCTCCGACCTGAAATATAGTTGGTATTAATTCAAATTGTTTTTATTAATTGGGAATTTCAATTATGTAAGTTACATGGAATATGAAACTGAGATATAAATCGAAACTGTTTTCAAATTCCGTTGCTGAAATGCGACATATTCTTCTTTTACTCAAAAAATGAGCACAACAGATAGCCAACAATTTTCTCCTGAATGAAAGTCACTGTATATACCTAACCCATCAGGCGCCTACCTCGGTTGCAAAGAGGGTTTACCGACTCCAAGGGTTGATACTCTCCCCTCGTAAGGGTACCTGTCGTGTCTCCATTGAGACATAAAGGTGACTATCAAAAAATGTCGATAATACATCGCCTTCCATAACAAATATAAAATTTTGAAGAAGTATTCGAAATGACTTGAATATAATACGAAACAGGAATGAGATACTCATCACCGGTAGCTGGTCTGGTTTCCACTTCTGTGCAATGTTTCCATTGGGCTTAAATGGTCGATTTGAAACACGTTTCCTCTCCGACCTAAAACATTGTTGGTATTAATTCAATTTTTTTTATAAATCGTTAATTTCAAATATGTAAGTTACATGGAATATGAAACTGAGATATAAATTGAAACTTTTTTCAAATTCCGTTGCTTAAATGCGACATATTCTTCTTTTACCCAAAAAATAAACGCAACAGATAGCCAACAATTTTCTCCTTAATGAAAGTCACTGTATATACCTTATCCATCAGGCGCCTACCTCGGTAGCAAAGAGGGTTCACCGACTCCAAGGGTTGATACTCTCTCCTGTCGTGTCTTCATTCAGACATACAGGTGACTATAAAAAAAATTCTATGATACATCGCCTTCCATAACAGATATAAAATTTTGAAGAAATATTCGGAATGAATCGAATATAATACGAAACAGGAATGGGATACTTATGACCGGTAGCTGGTTTTTGGTATGTTTCCACTTCTGTGCAATTTTTTCCATTGGGCTCAAGTGGTCGTTTCAAAACACGTTGCTTCTTCGATCTAAAACGTAGTTGGTATTAAAACTCAAGTTTTGTTATTCTCATCAAGTTATTGTAAGAATATATAGGGAGATATTTTTGCAGGGATCAAGCCCTTTTTCTCTTCAAAAACTTTCTTGTGGTGTGCTACTGTTAGATATTGAAATACGAAATAAGCTGCTTGTTTCGTTTGTGGAAAATGAGTCCCTGAAATCAGAAGAAAGTGCTCTACCGTTTTGGAAAATAAAATACAGGGTTCCATCCGAAAATTACCAGTTTATGTTAAATTTTTAGGATTACTAGATTCTGAATGTCCATAAAAATACTTCATTTTCGCTCATTTGAACGTTTCTGTAACACTTATATTAACTGAGATACCTCTTGAGTGAAATATAAACAATCACCCTGTTCATACAGAAAGGAATAAAGGAATAAATTCATTCTTAGCCAAACTGCCCATTTCTTAAAATTCTCCTGAAATAGGTCGACTTTCATTTACAATTTTTCACATATATAAGTGAAAATTGGACATACACGCGACAATTTTTTTTCTAATAGAAAACCTCGTAGAACACCCTATATATTATTCGATTCTTGGAATCTCCATGACAAGTTGAATTTGAATAGTTATTTATGTATTAAGGGAATTATGAGGGCCTTAATTACCGATGGCAAAGTTTGCGTCCCGAGGGCCTCTGGCCCGAGGGACAGCAATTGCCTGAGGTTATTGAGGCTCAGTAATTCCCGTGATACATAGATAATTTTATTTCTGACTGATTTCATTCATTAGATACCTTCCCGATTGGAAGTTAGACATGTTTTTCCGTATAGTTTCAATGTCATCAGAACGTCAGATGATGATCTTGACTACCGCGAATAGGAGATTCCTTATTGCTACGTTACTGCGTGGTTGTTGCTATGCATTTCTTATTTAATTTTAGTTAGAGGGAATTATAGCATCTATAACATCCCAAGGGAGTTATGACCCTCATAATAGATATCGTAACTATGACGATATAAGCTTATAATGTCACTGTCAGAAATAAAATATATTACACATAGTCTTCGTACACTGTGCGTCCGTTGAATTGAGTACTTTTTAAGATGGATAAATCAATGTAATAGCCTAATTATCCATTTCTGAGGAATCTCCTAAATCAGGTTGATTTTTATTATCAATTTGCCACTTTGATATGGAAAAAATAAATATACAAATGGTTTGGCTATAAATGAATTGTATTCACTACTTCACGAGAGCACTCAAATTAACGGACGCACTGTACACAAACTCTATGTGTATCAATATATTTTTGAATTCAGATAATATATACCAGGTGACACAGGGTATCGGGCCACCCCTGTAACTTCTGCATGCTTTCTGAAATTCGGTACAGTTATATTAGCAATCATTTCGGATTTGATCACATTACAATCCAAAATGGCACTTTTTTTTGTCCTGTTGAAATCGAATATGTAAAAATATACAGGGTGTTCCATTTGAAAAAACAAAGTTGCTGGCATTTCCAGAAAAACCAGAGGTCCGCCATATTGAATTGTAATGTGATCAAATCCGGAATAGTTGCTTATTTAACTGTACTGGATTTCAGAAAAATCCGTTGACGAATGCAGAAGTTCCAGGGGTGGCCCGATACCCTGTGTCACTTGGTATAGTGTGTTCTATTTAAAAAAATCGTTGCGTACGTCAAAACGCAAACGTGGATCACCCTGTATTTTC